AAGGCTGTCCCTGGGGTCCAGGCTATAAGAGGACTTTCTAAGTGAAACTATCTGGTAAAAGGCCCTTTGGTGAAATCAGTAACTAGACCTCCTTGGGAGGGATTCAAAAATGGATACACTTCATACCAAATCACATCTGAGTGTCTGCTCTTAAGCAGAATTCTTTCTCTTGGGGTTGAGGGGAGAATAAACCATGATCATTGGTTTTTTGTGTCACTATAATATTTCTTAACTTGGAGGAGTCTGGGAACTTTATTGTTGTTGTTGTTGTTGTTGTTTTTGGTTTGAGTTAGGCAATGGGGTTAAGTGACTTGCCCAGGGTCACACAGCTAGTAGGTGTCAAGTGTCTGAAGCTGGATTGGAACTCAGGTCCTCCTGACTCCAGGGCCAGTGCTCTATGCACTGTACCACCTAGCTGCCTCAAGTCTGGGAACTTTAAAAAAAAATTTTGATATGTGTCTCAATATAATTGGTTCTATATAAGACAAATTTATGGAGTAAAAAAAAACAATATATGGAATAAATAAATAAAACATTTCCATAACAATTCCATAACACAGCATGAAAAAGCTAGTTGCACATGAAACTGCAACTCTGTTATGTACAACTTGCTATTCCTTTTAAATATATAATAAAGTTTTCATGTAAATTTTTTTCCTTTCCCCCTCTCTTTTCCCCTCCTTTGCTTTTAAAATACTCTTCTATGAAGAGGCCCATAGCTTTTATGACTTCCAAAGGAGTCCAAGACACAACAAAGGTTAAGAACCTCTGGAGAGAGTGACTTTACTTCTAGTACTCTCTCCCTACTATCATTCTCTAGTTGGGAGAAAGGAATTGTGTTAGAAAATATTCTCAGGTCCATGCTAAACATGAATGTCTGGGACTGATCATCCCTCATAGGCAAATTCCTGCCATGATTTAATTGACCCAGAAGGCCTCTCAATTAGGATGCTAAGGATCCACACAGACAAATTAATTCTCTCCAGGTATCTTAGCCTTGGGAGAACAAAGAGGCACTTCCCCACCCCCTGTGTTAGATTCCATAAGGAGCTACACAAGACACACACAAGGCTACATGTTTTAATGAAGAGAACACTGAACCTGGGGTCACAAGACCTGGGTTGAGTCTCAGCCCTGCATCTTAATAATCGTGTGTCCTTGGACAAAGCAGTTGAGTCGCAGTTTCCACAACTCCAAAATGGATATAGCAAACTTGTACTTTGCAAAGAAACTGCTTCAAGAATGGAAAAGTGGCACCTTTGAGGGGAAAGAATAAATAAATCCCAATGCCACTGACTGTGCAGATGGTAGGCTGATTCCATGACCCAAATCTCATGTTCAAGTGGTCCTCAATGATGTCCAATTTGCTTTGGCTTTACACAAACAATGTGGATGACTTGAACAACTGCAGAGAATGGGCCGGCTGCCAACCAACTGCTACTCACGGGGCAAGTATGCCAGCCTAGCTAAAGTAGCAAGGCAAGGCACCCTGTGGGAAAGAGAAGGGGTAGGATGTGCCAGACAAGTCAAACAACTACTACCACCTTGACCACCAATTTCTTTCAAACCTTATTAGAGAAAGCCTAAGGCCTTGACCTCTAGTAAAATACTGTTGAAAGCCACAGATGAGCCAGTGGACCGCACAGCCAAATGTAGGCCAGCTTAAATTTAGAAACTGCTAGTGCAGCTGTATTTTTCAACAGCCCTGACTTCAACACTGATCAGGAGTTTATCTTCCCCCTTTACACCCAGAACAGATCTAGGATTCACCCCCTTATACTAGAAACAGAGAACTAAGCCCAGTGTATTTGGTTTTAAAAGTCTCATTCTGCAAACTAGAAACATTTCAACTTGTTATTTTCATTCATTGGAACTTCCCTAATTTTCTCAAGGGTTTTGTGAGTGGCCAGGAGCATCTAGCAATCAGTTACTCCTGCAGGTTTAGAATGGAAAGGTGATGGAGAATTTCTTTCAGTCAATTTCCAGTGCTGTTCAAGGGATCACTGATGAAGATTCCTGATTATTGAACTTCAATGGACCCACTTACGGTATTCTTTTTCTGTAGAGCAATGTAAATTCATGATTGTACTCACTAATGTGTATTTTGTATTGAATTCTATTTTTCAGCTTTTTTTTATCATAGTCATTGTACTGAGATATTTGACTTCCCAGAGTCCTAGAATACATCCCACTCTGTTTTGTATATTTATTGCATTAAACAGTAAAACTTAATTAATAATTTTGTTTTTTAAATCTTGCTTATCAGACATTTTTGGTAGGATACAACAAAATAGAGAAATACTTTGAAAAGAAAAGGTATTTTTCAATGCTTTTAATGACTCCTGAAACAAAAAACAATTTTTAATAAACAATTGTATTAAAAAAAAAAAGAAAGAAAGCCTAAGGCCTTGAACTTTGAGTCCTGGGAATGCTTCCAACCCAGTGCCTACAGCCATCATGCTAAGAGGCAACCCCGGTTGAGATATAGCCTGGCAAATGCTCACAGAAGAAGCTACTAAAGACCAGGACAGAAAGTTCTTCCTACCAAACTTCTTGGCACTGTCCAATGTTCAACATCAGAAAATGATTTGTTTCTATCAGTGGAAATGGCATTAAAGAAGAGGCATTAACATCTGTTTTGCCGTTGTGGGACTTATTCATCTTATTTGCAGCTAAACCTTACATATATATTGTTCTCCCCGTTAGAATGTAAGCTCCTTGAGAGCAGGGACTGTCTTGCTTTTCTATTTGTATCCCAATCACTTAACACAGTACTCTGAATGTTTTTGTTGTTTAGCTGTGTTTGACTCTTTATAACTCCTTAAACCATACTGTTTATGGAGTTTTCTTGGCAAAAATACTGGTGTGGTTTGCCATTTCCTTCTTCAGGGGATTAAGGCAAACAGGTTCAGTGACTTGTCCAGGGTCACACAGATAGTTAGTGTCTGAGGCTGGATTTTAACTAAGGTCTTTCTGATTCCAGGTCCAGCTTTCTGTCCTCTGAGCCACCTAGTTGCCTACTTTGTACATAGTAAGGACTTAATAAATACCTTTTTCACTCATATTCATTTGTTTAATAATCACTAGTACCAGTGAACTTCTGATGTTGATTATATATGTATATATGTGTGTGTGTGTGTATGAGTATACATATATGTGTATACACTTATATATTTATATAAATATACTTATATGCATATATAGGTGTATGCATTTAAAGTTTTATTTTTGGTCCAGATTTTTTCATTTATTTTAGTTAGTATGGTGGAACTTCCAGCGTGGATACTCCCTCCAATGATGCAAATCAATAACTTGTCTATAGTGAGTTTTTTAGAGCGGGGCACCACGAAGTTGTTGTCAGGGGCACTGACTGGCTGTGACTTGTCTATAATCACAGTTAGTATGTATCAGAGGCAGGATTTGAAGCCAGGTCTTTCTGACTCTAAGACTAGCCCTCTTTCTATGATGCCAGGCTGCTTCTGTAATTATCCGCTGGATAGGTACCTGCTGACATGCATTTCTTGTAGTTATTCACTTGATGCTGACACTGATAGCTCCTTTGCTTGCATAAGGGGCCAGACACTTGAATTTATGTTCACCTTATTGGCATGTGATGAATTAGAGACTACATCTAAGAGATACCCTTCTGCCTTTATGACAGTTCAATCTTCCTTCCTAATGGAATGTACTAGTAGAGCGGGAAGATGTCCATTCCTATTAGAATTTGATAAAACTCTGCCCCTTCGTGGCCAAGTGCATTCAGATGCATCTACCTAGAAGTTCAATGGCTGTCTCAAACTAAACATGTTCAAAATGGAGCACGTGACTGCTAGAATAACATTTCAAATTCCCAGGTCTGACTACTTTATTCCCATGCTCAAAAACTTCCAGTAGTCTCCTTCTGCTTCATATAAGCTAAAATAGAAGCTCAGCAGCTGTATTCAAGGCTCTCCATGATCTAAGCCAGATGTGGCCACGAAGCCTGCAGGTTCCACACCCCTGATAAGTTCTCACCTAGCTCTCTGGACTTATTTCTTTTTCTTTCTTTTTTTTTTTAAACTTTTAGGCAATTGGGGTTAAGTGACTTGCCCAGGGTCACACAGCTAGTAAGTGTTAAGTGTTTGCTCTGAGGTCGTATTTGAACTCAGGTCCTCCTGACTTCAGGGCCAGTGCTCTATCCACTGTGCCATCTAGCTGCCCCTGGACTTATTTCTTATTATTCCCTTTCACATTCTGTGTTCTACACTGAATTGTACAAACTATTTCCCAAACTCATTATTTTATGTCTCATCTTTGTGGCTTTGAACAGGCTTTCTCTCGTGCCTAGAATTTATTTCACTCACTTCTTCCTCATAGAATTCCTAATTTTTTTTCTAGTCCCAATCTGGCTGCCACCTCCATCCTAAAACTTTTCCTGATCCTGCCAGTTGTTAGCATTTTCTCCCCAAATTACCTTGAATGTATTTATCAGTTCCTCAGTAGAATGTAAGCAACTTGAAGGCAGGAACTAGTATAGTTTTGGTTTTTATATGCTCAGAAACTTTTACATAATAGATGCTTAATAAATATGAGGTTATTGGAATTGAATTGCAAGGTGAAATTCTCAAATGCTGTTATAATGATTATACTCAAAAAAAGAAATTGCAAGTTACTTGAAAATTGCCTAATTTTCTTTTCTGTGCAGAAGTGGTGGACTATGGGTATGGAATACTGCATATACTGTCAGCCTTGGTCAGTGTATCAAATAGCTTTGACAAACTGGTTCTTTTCCTCTTTTTTAAAATATTCTTTGTTGTAAGGGATGTTTGATTGGATAGGATAGAGGGAAAACTGTATTATCAAATGAAGGCAAAACATTCCTCACTTCTTTTTCAGTAGGAATGCATTCATTCATTCATTCATTCATTCATTCATTCATTCATTCATTCATTCAACAAATGCTAGTTTAAAATAGAGCCTACAAGGGCTTTGTTTCTGCTTTCAGAAGGAAGGCAGTGAGATGACATCAAAGTTCCTGGTAACCAGAAAGGCTTAGCATTCTATGCTCACGGTTAGAGATTCAAGTTGGGGTTTACAGCCAGAAGCCACAGCTCCAACATGCATAGGATCAGGACCACAGAATCAGACCATGGGAAGAAAAGACAAAAAAAGATGAATGCTCTTATTTCCTCCACAGTTTATGAAATTAAATTTCATGAATTAGTCCTTTTTATTTTGGAGAAGAAAATGGGGGCAACCCGGAGAACATTCCTGATGGATCTGGCTCGAAAGAAAGGTTTCAGGGTCGAAAATGAGTTAAGGTAGGACGGTACTTATTTCATTTTTAAAATCTCTGATTGGCTTAAAAAAAAAGAAAAAGAAACCCAACTTATTTAAAGCTCTACTTACCAGGCCAGCATCATCCTGATCACATCAGCACGTTACTTACACAGGCATACATGGACATATCCTGGGCTAAAATTTTAAGCTCTAAATAACTAATCACTTAAGTAAATCATTAACTTTTCCAAGATGCATGATAAACAAATCAAGAGAAATTTGGTTTGTTCTGGAAGGCAGTAAAAACTTGGAGTTCTTTAGCTTTGCACTCTGGTGAAGGGGGGGGGATAGCTAAATAGTGGTTGACATATAGAGAAAATGGTGGGATTTTTCTATGCTTAATTTTATTCTTGACAGAAACTCACCAATTTCTGTGCATTTTCCCCAACTCAAACCAAAGGGTTTCAACTACTTTAACACAGAAGCCTGGTCTTCCTGTTTTCCTTTCACCTGGGCTCCTGTATGTGAGTTCAGCTTTATTGGCAGGGGCTAGGAGGGCTGACAGGTACATCTAGTCTGCTTACATACTGCCTCTAGTGGGTGTAGGCCATTAAGTGTTGTCAGGAGAAGGTTTCTGTGCAGGATGGCCTTTGTGGGGATCCCCAGGAGAATGATGACCCTCTTGGATCCATGGGGACCATCAGATGCAATTGCTGAAAGGGATACTTTATAGAGGAGAGAGCTAAGACCTTGAAGAGGGGTTGGAACTTGGTCAAGGTTGCATAACCAGCAAGTAGCAGGCTGAGAATAAGAACCCATGTTTCATTACTCAGCCATCACCAAACAGAGGCATAATGGATCACATTCCCAAATGTGCTGAAATCAGAGCCTGGGGAGATAGGATAAGCGGGCAATCATTTTCAGAAGGTAGATAGATATACCTCCAAACTAGTCATTATATTTTAAGGGCTTTCTGGTACATATCATGTCTACTAATACACAACTAAACCAAAAAGCTCAATTTAATGGGGGAGGGGACAGGGGGATGGTGGTGATAAAGATCCAAATGCAGAAATAAATCCTGATTATAAATATGAACTTTGGGATTTGTGGGATGAACAAAGATAAAGCAACCTGATACATTTTGAATGACAAGGGTATTGATAAAGCATGTTCCAAACTTAGTTTATAAGTATAGAACCCAAATCATCACTTCACACACACCCACACACACACAAACACCCCCCCCACACACACACACAGTGCATTCACACTCATATACACTTTGGAATTCTCTGGGAAAGCTGTTACTTAAAAAGGTTTGAGAGAAAAAATAAATAAATTTCCCAGTGAATACAGGACTGTCCTAAATTATTGAGAAGACAATAAATCATGATAACTGATAATAAGTTATGCTAACGTTCATTGCCAAAGTGAAGTGAAGAATGTATCATCTACTAAAACATTCACCTTCGAGGCATTTGGATCTCCTTTTGTCTTTTTCTTTCTCCTCTTCATCACTTTGCCTCTCGTGGTCTCTCTTCTTTTCTTTCCCTCTATTTATCTTCTCTCCTTTGCCTTTCCTCCTTTTCTCTTCTTACTCATTATAACATGCAATTGAAGTATCTTAAAGAAAGATATTTGTTGTTCTTATTGAATTACATGTCATTATCTCTGCCTTTAATTTTGTAAGGAGGCAAATTGAACATTTTCTTTTTCTCTCTTTCAAGAAAATCCCAATTAGGTCTTTTAAAAATCAGTGTAAAACACCTGATTCCTATTTTTCTATTGTCAATTATTATTATATTGTGTGCACGGTTTTTATTTTTGGTTCTATTTTGTATTACTACAGGTCAGGGGTCCTTTTTACCCTCAATCTACAACATTCAGTATGGATAGGATCTACTTCTGCTTAAAATAGTTACAGGAAAATGATAGCACAATTGACTTCAATTTTATTTCCATAAGATTTATTGTTATCATTGAGCCGTTCTTGAGTTTGGTCTGGAAATACTGACTCTAACAGCGGTGTCAGCTTGGGTTAGTCATTTGCTTTCCTCTGGAATTTGATATTACAGATGCCTTGGTAAAATGAGGCAGCTGAAGTAGTTGATTTCTAAGATCCTTTCTAGGGCTAAAATCTAATGACTTTCTATGAGACAGAAAGAGAGAAACTTACAGAGACAGAGAGACACACAGAAAGAGAGAGGGAGGGAGGGATGGAGACAAACAAAGCAATACAGAGAAGACAGAGACAGAGAGACAGAGACAGAAAGACAGCGACAGAGAAAAAGAGAAAAACAATTTTTTAAATTGTTTTGGCTTTTCCTTTTTTTTTACAATTTATTTTTACATCATGTATATTTTCAGATATATCCCTTTCTCTTTCCTACTCAGTGAACCATGAACCATTCCTAGTAACAGTTTTTTTTTTCAAAGAGAGAAAATAGCAATTAAAAAAAATCAACCATGTCTGGCATCATATGCAATAGAGAATAATTTTAAAATCTAATTAAATAATGATAGTTGACATTTGTATGATGTTTTAAATATTGCAATCATCATATATGTGCACATGTACGCACACATATAATGTCATTTGATCCTTACAACACCTTGAAGTGTAATTTGAAGGTGAAGAACCTTAGCAAACTCTCAGCGAGTAAGTAATTTGCCCAGGGTCATTACAGCTAGTAAGTCTCGGAAATGTGAGTCAAACCCAGGTTTTCCTAGCTCCATGTCTGCGCTCTATTCATTATGCCAGGCTTACTCCTTATGGGTACATCTGAAATTTAAAAATAAACAAACCACCTGCCCTTTATTCCAAACTGTGGTATTTTTTTTTAAAAAAAGTGTATAGATACGTGAAAATATTTCTCCTTCAATCTCTAAATTTCCTGAAAAATTAAGTATAAAGATTCAGAAAAAGAAATAGAAAGTTTCTTTGGCAAGGGGGTCCTTGAATCTATAACTCGCTGACTCAGAACAAGCTTTTCCTGCTGCCAAAAGTGCTGCATCTTTGCCTGGGGGGAGGGAGTGTTGTGTGTGTGTGTGTGTGTGTGTGTGTGTGTGTGTGTGTGTACGCCTGCTAAGAACTCAGCCCAGCTGCACATGCAAGAGAGGAAGCTGACATACAGTGGCAGGTCAACTGTGGCTGTGCACTTGATTATGGCAAAGTTCCCAGACTTAAACAGTGGAACAACTACTTCTAATATGTCTTTTATATAAAAGTAAAAATAAATGCATATCAACTACCGGAAACAGAAGTCAGAGTTCTCAAACTGAATTTTTTTACACAGAAATTTCACCACAATCTGATCAGGATCGGTGAGAATAGGTCTTAAGGTGATTAAAAAAAAGACTGCTCATTTGGTGGATTGAAGATTAAGAATGGAGAGGGATGTTAGAAATCATTTAGTCCAGATTTCTTATTTTATAGATGAGGAAAATGTGACTCAATGAGAAGGGAAATGACTTTTCCATAGTCAAATAGGTCCTAAGTGGCAGAGCTAAGATTAAGGGTGTGCTGCAGTGGAAAAGTATAGGATTGAGTTCAGATCCTGACTGCCATTTATTAGCTATGGAACCTTGGGGAAGTTACGTCTTTGGGCCTCAGTTTTCATTTCTATAAAATTTCATTATCTATCATTTATAAATAAAAGAGTGTTATAAAAATTTTTATATTACTTTTCCATTTTTTGTCTGTTGTTTTCCTACTTTTATTTCTTCTTTAAATGCTTTTGGGATGTTATTAAACCTTAGCCTTTTGCTTAACTTTCCATAAAATTGTCTTTTCTTCCACTAACCTATTGCTTTTTTGTGTTTTATGAAGCAATACTACTCATAATATGGCATCATCTTCCTCTGGAAGATTTTATAAATGAGCTTATATTATTGACTAATAGTACCATTGGCTGCCAAGTCTCTTTGATTAGCAAGGTGATAAAATGTTTGTTTGGTTGATATGGTTTCTAGACTTTTTAAATTTTCCTATGGAGACTGATTTAATTTAAACTTCCCTAGGAATGTGGAGAGTCTGGGTTGATGTCTCTTATTTTATATTTCCCATTGCTTGGTGTCAAAGGCTTTTAAAAATAGGTCAGTTTAGAGTATTCTCAATTACAACCACATCTTCTCATTTGTGTACTCTATCTTCTAATTTAGTATAGATTTTGATCTTTCTTCTAATAAATTGATAATCTGTGTGTAGAGAGTTGATTTGAAAATGGTTCCCACATACCCAAAGGGTTATAAAACAGTACATATCCTTTGACCCAGCAATATCACTACTAGCTTTGTATTCCAAAGAGATAAAAAAGGGGGAGGAGGAACCATATGCACAAAAATATTTATAGCAACTCTTCTTTGGTAACAAAGAATTGGAAATTGAGGGGATGCTCATCAGTTGGGGAATGGCTGACCAATTGTAATGAAATACTATTATGCTATAAGAAATAATGAGTAGGATAGTTTCAGGAAAACCTGGGAAGACTTACATGAAATAATGCAAAGTGAAGTGAGCAGAACCAGGAGAACATTATACACAGTAACAGCAGTATTGTATGATGATCAGATGTGAGTGATTTAGCTATTCTCAGCAACACAATGATCCAAGATAATTCTGAAGGATTCATGACGAAAAAGAGAAAGAACTGATGGAGTGTGAAAGTGGATTGAAGCATACTTTTTTTAGACTTTATTTTCTTGTGGTTTTTTTGTCTGTTTTCTTTCACAAAATGCCAATATGGAAATATGTTTTGCATGACTGTAATGTATAATCTATATCAAATTGCCTTCTCAAGGATGAGGAGGGGAAGGAGGGAGAGAATTTGGAACTCAAAATGTTAAAATTTTTTACATGTAATTAAAAATATAGAAATAGATAAAAAAGAAAAGAAGATGTTCCCCACATCAGTAAGCATTAATTTCCTATTTGTTAAAATACAGTTGGTTTAATTTCTGATAGTGTTACTTTGTGCTGACCATGTCCAGTGGCTTCCTATTCTCATCTCAAAGATTCATCTATATGTGTAGTCTACAAGCCTTTTCTCTCTCTATCCCACTTTTTACTACTGAACCATATTTTCCAACACACTCCCTTATGCCCACACATTAGCACTTAAGTTACCAAATATTGAAATATATATTGATTTAATTTAGAAGGTCTTGTTGAATTCTTAATAGAGTTCCTCTACTTTTACATCCTCATTCTCTGCAAAAGGTGTTGATTCATAAGTTAATAAGCTCATCCTTTTCACGTTTATGTTTTTTGTAGATGTTTATTTGCAAAATGAGGTTGAATAAGTGTACCATGAAATGCCTTTGGATGCATGTAAAAAAATAACAAACTTTACCAATTCATTTTTCTACCCCTCTAATGAGAATCTCTGAGCCATCCGAACCATTTGTTGAAATGTCTGATTTCATTATAGTAGAATTGTCAAGAGTGCTATCATTCCTCTAGTGCTATGTCCATTTGTTGGTTACCAAATGAAGATTTCCTATCTAGAAGTGCCAATAATGAAGGTACTGTTTGTAGAAGGTCTAACAATATTGTGATTTTTAGCACTCTCAGCCACCTTTTCTTCTACTCTACCACTATGAAAAGGGGTCTTGTTAGTAAATAATCTTGAATATGGCCCTGGGACCTCATATATTTCATGGTGGCATCTAGCGTGTGTAGCTCTTCTCCAGGAAATGAAAAGTTTGCACTCACAAGCATTATCCTTGTCCCTTAATGGCACAATAAGAAGGGAGGCCCTGCTAATTAAACAACAACAACAACAACAACAACAACATTCATTGTTTTGTCATCTATCTCACAGCAATTCAGTGACTCACATTGTGGCAGAAAACAATTCTGGTTCAGATGTCCTGGCTTGGCTCAGGGCGCATAAAATGGAAAAGACAGAACAGATTGAACTCCTTGATGTCTCTTGGCTAATCGAATGCATGAAAGCTGGAAAACCAGTGGAAACAAAAGGAAAATATCAGCTTGTGGTAAGTTAGATAGAAATAAATTTCATTGACTTAGGAATGATTTCTTCAAATGAGAAATAAGCTCCTTCTTACTTTGATATTTCCCAAGATCTATGATCTTAATGGTCTGCATATTCCAACTCAAATTGCTACACTGCTATAGTAAAAATATTCACTGCTTGGTGACCATTTCCTCTGGTCATGAGCCTTTTTTCGTACTTAGCTGGGCTCTGACTACAGGCGACAGACTACAGACTCTTTGCTAGGACTGTACTTACAGAGTGACAGAGATGATCTAGTGCAACTTCTCATATTCAGAAGATTGTAAAGGTCCTTGAAAGTCCAGGACCTAACTAATAACTAAAAATTTGGCCACATCAGGTTATCCATTCATGAAGTGTGAACAAATCCTATAAATGAGTCATTATGGAGGAATGGCAAACAATGATCACACCAGAGACCTTATCTCCTGTATCCATGACTAGAATTCATATCCCATTCTTAGATCCACCTGATTGAGTCCCTTTATTCCTTTAAGGCATAGTTCAAGCAACATCTTCTATATGAAATTTTTCCTGACCCCAAATGCTAGTGTCCTACCTTCCAAAGAAACTTATATTTGACTACTTCATATGTATTTGCATTTATTCCCTTTATATTTATGCTGCCTGTATTTATATGCATGCTTCTGGTCTCCCTCATTAGGATGGAAGCACTTTTAAAGAAGGGATTGTTTCAGTGTCTGTACTTGCACTGTAGTATTTGGCATGGTGCCTGGCATATACTAGACCCTTAATAAATTTATTATGATTCAATTTAAAAATATACTGTTGTTTTGTAGGGCTTTAAATATACAAGCCCTGGAAACTATCAGTGAGTTTAGAAGTCTGGGAAGTTGAAGAGAGAGTCAGCAGTTGAGGAAGAGCCCAGCTCTTCACTTCTTGGTGATGGGGTGGTGAGGAAAGGGGTAGGAAAGGAGATTTTCTCTCTTTTCCATCCTTATTTATCATAGTCCTTAGCAATGGAACTGATTACTTAGACGGAGAAACAGAATCCAGTTGGAGAATCTATTCATGAGAGTTCTAGGAACAATTGAGGAAGACACGTGGACATACAGAGAAGCAGTCACTTAAGGCTAGAAGAAGCTTCCAGTAGCAGCAGAAAAGGGAGATGGCAAAGGAATCAGAGGGAAAATAGTCCTGGTAAATGACAGTTGAATTTCCTGAGGACTCTACTAGGAGAGAAAGGATGGCAAGGTTCTATCACATAGCTGTTGTAAGTTGCCTTGGCCATATGTGTTTTCTACATGTATGACTCTCTACCATTGTTCTGGAAGTTTTTACCTGCTCTTCTGATAGATATTATATATATATGTATGTATATACATATTTGTTGGAGAGTATACCCCAGGTTTTTCAGGGCAAATGCTCTATGGCTGCTATTCATCTATGCTGTTTTAGTAAATGACTCTGCTAAGAGCTATTTGTGTTTACTGGTTGTACTCCTTAATAGGAGGCACACCACTGAGGGCTCGTGGTCTATGGTTATAGAAGGCATCTCAAACCTGAGGTAAAAGCCATTCTCTGGAAAACCCAGCCCAGGCATGTGAGTGCAAGTTGGCAATATTCCAGAATGGATGTTATAGGATCAGATTTAGGGCTGAAAGGAACCTTAAAGTCATTGGGTCCAACTCCCTCCAGAAACCTAGGCTCAGAGAAATTAAGTGACTCAGGGCCACACAGCTAGTGTCTGTGCTGGGATTTGCACCTAGGTCTCCACATCCGACATACCAAACTCCTAGAGCTTCATGTTTTATTAGGAAATCTCCCCTGGTGCTCTCTCCCCTCTCCCTCCCCACCTTCTCTTTTCTGTCTTCTCTCTTTCAATACTGCTATGTCATTACTGTGATAGGCCAGCCTACGAGCCCAGCCCAGACGTTATAGGGCTTCTTGCTTTTATCTGCTACTTCCAAACAACCTCAGAGTGGAAGAAAAATGAAAATGTTCATTAGGGCAGCAGCTTCTGCCTTCTTGCTACCACTGGTCTATTGTTCTGCCTCCCAGCCTGGGGTAACAGGGAATTAAATTAGATGATCACTAAGATCCCACTGGCTCTAAGATTCTAGGATTTAAAATAAACCTACATCAAATCAAAAATAATCAATTACAGGGTATTTCTTCTGAATACCTACAAACTTAGTACCGTTTTGATTAAGTTTTTTCTGTTGAAATTACTATGGGTTCTAGAACTAAAAAATTGAGACTCACTTCTTGCCTTCTTGCTTAGGAGAGCGAGGTTGGTTCAGCTAATCCAGACCCAAATGCAGGCACCTTGAAGATTCTACCACCTGCAATGAAAGCCATCTCCCAATATGCTTGCCAAAGACGGACAACTTTAAACAACCATAACCAAAGGTTTACGGTAAAGTAGTTAATATAAAGCCATATCTATAGAAAACAAACACATTACAGTCAATTTCCATGTATCCGCAAGCAAATTGACCAGATTATAGATTTTCTAGGACATCCTGAGTGTCCCTGTTATCCACATACTCTATTCTCATTGGTCCTACTTCTAGTGTGTTTCAGCAGTTTCCCTTTCCTCAAATAAGAAAGAAAGACTGTAAAGCCAGTTTTTGGATAATTCCCTCAGGAACTACCCACAGCACTGATCAGATAATTAAGAGATGTTTACTACTTTCTGTGACTAATGCTTTATAATGCTCATGTAAATATGGGAATGAGTACCATTCAGCACTTAGCACAGTATTTGGCACATAGGAAGCCCTCAATAAATGCTTGTTGACTGACTTATTGACTGACTAGACTAGGACTTGGAATTGGGAAGACTTGGGTTCAGATCTTGACTTTGACCCTTACTAGTCACATGACTTCAGACAAGTCCTTTATCCTCTATACACCTCAAGCAGCTCTAAGACTTATCTACTAAGTTATAAATAGGTTGCAATCTTGCACTGGTGAACCAAGTTCCCATTTAGGAAGTTCCCTAAGCTGATAGAATTGATAATAGTAATAATAATAGCTAGCATTTATATAAGGCTTTAAGGTTTGCAAAGCACTTTTGTCCTCACAACAGCCATTCGAAGTATTAACTATTATTATCCTCCTTTTACAGATAAGGAAACTGAGGCATACAGGTTAAGTGATTTGCACAGAGTCATACAAGTATCTGAGACAGGTCTTAACTCAGGCTTCCTATCCCAGCCTATCAATAATGGCATGTTATAGTCACTCTGTAGTTACAATGGTATACTAACATGCATTTGTTCACTTCCTCAGTAAATAAATCTCCTCAAGTCAGATTTGGGGTATTTACCTATTCTAACTTTCTACTCTAAGAAATTGGATGATCCTTGTGAATCACCAGTTGACAGATATCTGGAGTCTCCTTTTCAAATAGAGTTATTGCCTCTGGTGTAGAAAACAGAGTGCTGGCCTTTGAGACCACTAGGTGGCTCATTGGATAGAATGTTGGATGGGGATTCAGGAAGATCTGGATTCAAATCCTATTTCAGATGCTAGCTGTGTGGCCCTAAGTAATTAATTCAATCTCTCTCAGCTTCAGTTTCCTCATCTGTAAAATAGGGGTGATATAGTTTCCGCTTCCGGGAGCCAAGATGGCGGAGTGAAGAGGTAGTCACTCTCACTCTCCCCTATCAACCTCTGAAAACCCAGAAAATATCACCCCAGAAAAAAAAAAAACCCTGGAACTCCTGAACTAGAAGAAAGACAAGGAGCAGCAGTGCAGTAGCCCAGCAGATGGGTCTCCCAGTGCCTCAGCAAAAACAAGGGGCCCAGGCGGATAAGTACCCTGCGGCATTCATCTGAAAGGAGGTGAAGAAAACAACCTAAAGAGTTCCCTAAAGCCCCGACCTTGCTGATTCCAACCCAACACCAGGTGAGCTGTAGGAGCCCTGAAGCCCCCAATTGTGAAGAAATCCTGAAGCCCAGGTGGCAGAGCAGGCAAACACCAACACCTGGACCTCCAGTGCCTCAGTGAGGGCGGGGGAACCGGGAAACCAGCTCAGAAAACCACCAGGAGCCTCGGCACTCCACTGCAAAGGAATCTCCCGTGCATTAGCAGAGAGAGGAGACAACACTGCAGGGGGCCCCAGGCAGATAAACATCCTGCAGCAGCCATCTAAAAGGAGCTGAAGAAAGCTAAAGGAAAGGAAAAGCAGGCAACCTAGAATTGCCTGAAAGTTCCAGCCTTGCTGATTCCAGCCCAACACAAGGTAAGCTGCCAGAAACCTACAGCCTCCAATTCCCAGCATAAGAGGCCCCAAAACAAAGCCAGTGACCAAGACCTAGGCTCCCAACACAAGAAGCTTGGGTCAGTACCCTCTGTTCCCCAGCAGGAGAGCTCAATCTCTTTAAAGGCCAGGGAATAAAGAAACACCATGAGTAAAAAGAAAGTACCATAGATTCATATTATGAGAAGAGTGAAGATCAAGACAGAAATTCTGAAGAGGACAACATTGTCAACAAACCCACATCTGCAACAACAAAAGGGAATATGAACTGGTCTGAAGCCCAAAAAGCCTTCTTAGAAGAGCTCAAGAAGGATTTTAATAGTCAAATGAGAGAGGTAAAAGAGTCCTTCAAAAATACAATTGGCCAGTTGGAAAAAAAATACACTGAAGAAAACAAGTCCCTAAAAAACACAATTGGCCAATTGAAGAAGGAAGGACAAAAACTAACAGAAGAGTACACTGAAGAAAACAAGTCCCTAAAAAACACAATTGGCCAGTTGAAGAAGGAAGTACAAAATCTAACAGAAGAGTATGCTGAAGGAAACAAGTCCCTAAAAAACACAATTGGCCAGTTGAAGAAGGAAGTACAAAAACTAACAGAAGAAAACAATCTGTTAAAAACTAGAATTGGACAAATGGAAACTAATGTCTCTATGAGAGAGCAAGAATCAGTCAAACAGAAACAAAAAAATGAAAAAATAGATGAAAATGTAAAATACCTCATCAGTAAAACAACCGACCTGGAAAATCGACTCAGGAGAGACAATTTAAAAATTATTGGACTACCTGAAAATCATGATGAAAAAAAGAGCCTGGACAGTATCTTTCAGGAAATCATAAAGGAAAACTGCCCAGAAGTCCTAGAACCAGAAGGGAAAATAACCATAGAAAGAATCCACCAATCACCACCTGAAAGAGATCCCAAATTGACAACCCAAGAAATATAATAGCAAAATTCCAAAATTACCAGATGAAAGAGAAGGTGCTGCAAGCAGCCAGAAAGAAAGAATTTAAATATCATGGAACCACAGTCAGGATTACACAGGACCTTGCAGCTTCTACATTAAAAGACCGCAGGGCATGGAACATGATATTCCGTAAGGCAAAGGAGCTTGGAATGCAGCCAAGGATCAATTACCCAGCAAAAATGAGCATCATTTTTCAAGGGAGGAGGTGGATATTCAACGAAATAGGAGACTTCCAAACTTTCCTGATAAAAAGACCAGAGCTCAACAAAAAATTTGATCTTCAAGTACAGGACTCAAGAAGGACTTAAAAAGGTAAATGGGACAGAAGGATACAATATGTTGTTAATAAGGGGGGGGGCTGTTTAAACCCCTACAAGGGAATATGAGACTTGCAACCCTTGAGAACTGTATTGTTATTACACCTTGTTAAAGGAGTATACATAAAGAGGGTGGATATTAGTTGACTTTGATGTAATGATAAAAAAAAACTAATCAAGTGGGTTAAATGGATCCAAATAAGTGGATCAATCTATCTTAGAAAAGTACTGAGAAAGGAGGAGGCAGACAAGGGTAAATTACATTACAGGAAAAGACACAAAATCCTATTACAGCAGAGGGAAAGAAGGGGGGGAGCATTGTTTGAACCTTACTCTCATCAGATTTGGCTCAAGAAGGGCATAATATAATCAGTTAGGTATAGAAATCTAACTTGCCCTATAGGCAGTAGGAGGGAAAAGGGGAAAGAAAAGGGAGGGGGGAAAGAAAAGGGGGGGAAGAAGGGAGGGAAGCAGCAGTAAGACTAAAGGGGAAGAAAAGGGAAAGGGATAATAAAAGGGGTAAGGGACTGAAGGAGGCGGTGGTCAAAAGCAAAACACTAGTGAAGGGGAGAAAGGAAAAAGGAGAAAGAAAAGCATAAATGGGGGAAAAGGATGGAGAAAAAGACACAGATAGTAATCATAACTGTGAATGTGAATGGGATGAACTCTCCCATAAAAGGAAACGGATTGCAGAATGGATTAAAAACCATAATCCTACAATATGTTGTTTACAGGAAACACATTTGAAAAAGAGTGACACATACAGGGTAAAGGTAAAAGGCTGGAGCAGAATATATTATGCATCAGCTGAAGTAAAAAAGCAGGGGTAGCAATCCTGATCTCAGACAAAGCAAAAGCAAAAATAGATCTAATCAAAAGAGATAAGGAAGGAAACTACATCCTGCTAAAAGGCACCATAGACAATGAAGTAATTATCATTATAATATATAGCACCAAATGGTATAGCATCCAAATTCTTAAAGGAGAAGCTCAGGGAGTTACAGGAAGAAATAGACAGCAAAACTATACTAGTGGGGGACCTGAACCTCCCCCTCTCGGCACTAGATAAGTCTAACCACAAAATAAGAAAGAAGTTAAGGAGGTGAATAGAACATTAGAAAAGTTAGGTATGATAGACCTCTGGAGAAAACTGAATGGGGATAGAAAGGAATATACTTTTTTCTCAGCAGTACATGGCACATACACAAAAATTGACCATGTACTAGGGCATAAAAACCTCACAATCCAATGCAGAAAGGCAGAAATATTAAATGCATCCTTTTCAGATCATGATGCAATAAAAATTATATGTAATAAAGGGCCATGGAAAGATAGACTAAAAAATAATTGGAAACTAAATAATCTAATCCTAAAAAATGATTGGGTCAAACAACAAATCATAGAAACAATCAATAATTTCATTCAAGAGAATGACAATAATGAGACAACATACCAAAACCTATGGGATGCAGCGAAAGCAGTTCTTAGGGGAAGTTTTATATCTCTAAATGCTTACATAAATAAAATAGAAAAAGAGGAGATTAATGAATTGGGCATACAACTAAAAAAACTAGAAAAAGAACAAATTAAAAATCCTCAACTAAACACCAAATTAGAAATATTGAAAACCAAAGGAAAAATTAAGAAAATTGAAATTAAAAAACTATTGAACTAATAAATAAAACTAAGAGCTGGTTTTATGAAAAAACAATAAAATAGATAAGCCTTTGGTTAATTTAATTAAAAAAAGAAAAAGAAGAAAACCAAATTACTAGTATCAAGAATGAAAAGGGTGAAGCTACCACCAAGGAAGAGGAAAAAAACAATAATTAGGAATTATTTTGCCCAACTATATGCCAACAAATTTGACAATCTTAGTGAAATGGATACATATTTACAAAAATATAAATTGCCCAGATTAACAAAGAGGAAGTAAAATACTTAAATAACCCCATCTCAGAAAAAGAAATTGAACAAGCCATTGATGAACTCCCTAGGAAAAAATCTCCAGGGCCAGATGGATTTACATGCGAATTCTATCAAACATTTAAAGAACAATTAATTCCAATACTATATAGACTATTTGGGAAAATAGGTGAAGAAGGAGTCTTACCAAATTCTTTTTATGATACAAATATGGTGTTGATACCTAAACCAGGAAGAGTCAAAATAGAGAAAGAAAATTATAGACCAATTTCTCTAATGAATATAGATGCAAAAATTTTAAACAAAATACTAGCAAGTAGATTGCAGCAACTTATCACAAGAATAATACACTATGACCAGGTAGGATTTATACCAGGAATGCAGGGTTGGTTCAATATTAGGAAAACTATCAGCATCATTGAGCATATCAACACAAAACCAACAGAAACCACATGATCATCTCAATAGATGCAGAAAAAGCTTTTGATAAAATACAACACCCATTCCTATTAAAAACACTAGAAAGCATAGGTATAAATGGAGTCTTCCTTAAAATAATAAATAGCATATATCTAAAACCTTCAGCAAGCATTATATGTAATGGGGACAGGCTAGAAGCATTTCCAATAAGATCGGGGGTGAAACAAGGATGTCCATTATCACCACTGTTATTCAATATTGTACTGGAAACCTTAGCTTTAGCAATAAGAGAAGAAAAAGAAATTGAAGGCATTAGAATAGGCAAAGAAGAAACAAAGCTATCACTCTTTGCAGATGACATGATGATATACTTAGAGAATCCTAGAGAATCAAGTAAAAAACTACTTGAAATAATAAACAACTTTAGCAAAGTTGCAGGCTATAAAATAAACCCACATAAATCATCAGCATTTCTATATATTACCAACAAAGCCCAACAGCAAGAGATAGAAAGAGAAATCCCATTTAAACTTACTGTAGACATTATAAAATATTTAGGAGTCTACCTCCCGAAACAAACCCAGGAACTCTATGAACACAATTACAAAACACTTTTCACACAAATAAAATCAGATCTAAATAATTGGAAAAACATCAGTTGCTCATGGGTAGGCCGAGCTAATATAATAAAAATGACAATCCTACCTAAGCTAATTTACTTATTCAGTGCCATACCAATCAAACTACCAAAAAATTATTTTATAGAGTTAGAAAAAATAATAACAAGATTCATTTGGAAAAACAAAAGGTCCAGAATATCAAAGGAACTAATGAAAAGAAATGCAGGGGAAGGTGGCCTAGCAATTCCAGATCTTAAATTGTATTATAAAGCAGCAATCATCAAAACTGCTTGGTACTGGCTAAGAAATAGGGAGGTGGATCAGTGGAATAGGTTAAATATGCAAGACACAGTAGTCAATGACTATAGTAATCTATTATTTGATAAACCCAAAGACCCCAGCTTCTGGGATAAGAACCCACTCTTTGAAAAAAACTGCTGGGAAAACTGGAAAAGAGTATGGCAGAAACTAGGCATAGACCCAAATCTCACACCATATACCAAAATAAAGTCAAAATGGGTTCATGACTTAGATATAAAGGCTGATACCATAAGTAAACTGGGAGAACAAGGAATAGTTTACCTATCAGATCTATGGAGAACAGAAGAATTCATGACCAAACAGGAGATAGAGAACATTATGAAAAGCAAAATGGATAATTTTGATTACATTAAATTGAAAAGTTTTTGCACAAACAAAGCCAATGCAACTAAGATTAGAAGGAAGGTAGAAAATTGGGAAAGAATTTTTACAACCAGTCTTTCTGATAAAGGCCTCATTTCTAAAAAATATAGAGAATTAAGACAAATTTATAAGAACACAAGCCATTCCCCAATTGATAAATGGTCAAAGGATATGAACAGACAGTTCTCAGATGAAGAAATTAAAGCCATCTATAGTCATATGAAAAAATGCTCTAAATGTTATTGATTAGAGAAATGCAAATCAAAACAACTCTGAGGTACCACATCACACCTATCAGATTGGCCAACATGACAAAACAGGAAAATGATAAATGTTGGAGAGGATGTGGGAAAATTGGAATGCTAATACATTGTTGGTGGAGTTGTGAAATGATCCAACCATTTTGGAGAACAATTTGGAACTATGCCCAAAGGGCTACAAAAATGTGCATACCCTTTGATCCAGCAATAGCACTTCTAGGGCTATATCCCAAAGAGATCAAACAAATGGGAAAAGGACCCACATGTACAAAAATATTCATAGCAGCTCTTTTTGTGGTGGCAAAGAATTGGAAATTGAGAGGATGCCCATCAATTGGGGAATGGCTGAGCAAGTTGTGGTATATGAATGTAATGGAATACTATTGTGCTATAAGAAATGATGAACAGGCTGACTTCAAAAAACCTTGGAAGACTTATATGGTCTGATGCTGAGTGAAGTGAGCAGAACCAAGAGGACTTTGTACACAATAGCAGCCACGTTATGCAATGACTAAGAATGTTAAACTGAACCCTTCTCAGCATTATGAGGATCTAAGACATCTCCAGAGGCCTCGGGATGGAAAATGCTGTCCACATCCAAAGAAAGAACTATGGAAGTCCAATCGCTCTCACTTATTTTTACCTTCTGTTGAGTTTTGTTTCATCTTTTTGATGGTTCCTCCTAGTGGTTTTAATTTTTACTTACAACTGCACTAATGTGAAAATATGTTTAATGGGTATGTAAATGTAAAGCCTATGTCAGATTGTGCACCGTCTTGGGGAGGGTGGGGAGGAGAAAAAGGGAGAAAAAATTTTCAACTCAAAAGCATGTAGAAAAAAAAATTTAAAAAATAAATAAATAAAATAAATGCTCATAAAAAATAAAATAGGGGTGATAAATATGAAATAACACGCTTGTAGCACTTTGTGAACCTTAAGGTGCTGTAAAAATGTTATTGTTTATTATTATTAGGCAAAAGAAGGGAATAAGCATTCATAAAGGGCCTATTATGTGCTAAACACTTTATAAGTGCTAAGTGCTTTATAAAGATTATCTCATTTGATTCTCAGAACAACCTACCCGAAAGGTAGGCACTACTATTAACCCTATTTTACAGGTGAGAAAACAGAGCAAACAGAGATTAAGTGATTTGCCCATGTTACACAGTTAAAAAGTGTCTGAGACCAGAATTGAACTCAGGTCTTCCTGACTCCAAGCCCAGAGCTTTATCCACTAGTTATTTATCTTCTTCCTCCTCTTCCTACACTACTATTGCTGCTGCTGCTGCTGCTACTATTGCTACTACTACTACTACTCCTGCTACTACTACTACTATTACTACTACTACTACTACTGTTACTTCTATTATCAATCTCACTTTCTTCATCTTTTAAATGGCTATAGTAGTAGCATCTACTTCACAGGATTGGGAGGAAAAGAGGAAAGAACATATATAAAGTGCTTTGCAAATCTTAAAGCAGTCTACAAATGCCAGCTAGTATTATTATCGATCTTAGGTTCCCCATCTGTAAAATGGGAATAATAATTGTACCTACCTCATAGGATTATTGTAAAGATCAAATAAAATAAATATGTAAAGCACTTGCAAACCATAAAGCCTGATATAAATGTTAACTGTTATTTTTAGCTCTCGAACATTGACTTTCTTTGTCACGTGAATTGCTCCAGCATTTGCAAATCTGGATTCACTTTTTAGGATGCTTTTGAGATACTGGCAAAAAACTACGAGTTTAGAGAAAATCATGGCACTTGCCTGACATTTTTGAGAGCAACCTCTGTGCTGAAATGTCTTCCATTTGCTATTGTCAGTATGAAAGACACAGAAGGACTGCCGTGGATTGGAGATGAAGTTAAAGGTATCATGGAGGTAACACAGAAATGGCTTTTATTCATGGTGTTTTATGTATCCATTTAGTTGATTTGTCTATCATGTAAGTGTGTTGTGTGTGCATACATGTGTGTATGTGTATGTGTATGTATAGATGGGAAAATCTTAAAATTCTGTTTACATAGCCAGGATGAATTGGTGAGGGAACAATATGTGTTATAGGAAAAGATAAGGAGATTCTGGGGTCTTGTCTTCCATCTGCCACTGACTAGCAGAGTGACTTCAGCAAATTTCTTTTTCTTTTTTCTTCATCAATAAACTGAAGAGGGCGAACTCAGGGGCCTTTAATGTCCCTTCTGCCCCTAGAACTAGAAGCCTAGTTGATTTCAGGTTTCTTACAGTTCTGAAATGGTAATAATGAATTCTCAGGAAATTTGTCCATTCTGAAGTAGATAAGTAGCTCACATTGACTCCTAGGTCCTTTTCCTGGGCTGTAATTAGTAGTTCAGAACCCATCATTCTATAAATATATGTAGGGGGAGCAACAATTTTTGTCATTGAAATAAATGCATAACAAAAAGTTATTAGTACTGCCTGGTCCTCATCACACAAGTCAATCAGCTAGTCAAGCAATATTTTTTATCAACACATTAAATCTTAAATAATATTAAATTACTAAATTAATATTAAAATAAATAAAATATTAAATAAATCATTGATATTAAATCAATATTATAAGTATTTATTAAGCACCTACTGTGTGCCAAGCACTGTGTTAAATGGTAGGGATACAAATATGAAAAAAATACAGGGGAATACAATACACAAAAGAGGCTGAAAAGTTGAGGAATAGGGAGAGGGAGAGAGGTACCCAATGGAGCGAGGGAGGGAAGGAGAAGGGGGGATAGTAGAGAAGTCAGTCAGAGGAGTCCCAAGCTACTGAAGCCAGGTGAGAGATGAGATGTTTGAGCTGAACTCTCATTAAATGGAAGTTTGGAGTTCATGTCCCCAGGCTTTAACAGAAAAGCAGCTTGGATAATGAGAATTCCCATTTTCATGTATAATCCTCTTTTTCTGTACTACTTACTATATTTGGAATTTGTTAAGTTCAGAATTTTAAAAATTTTAAAAAGGACTATGTTCATATCCCTTGAGGATGGGGAGGGAATGGAGAAAATCTTATGAGGATTTTCCAGATACCCATGAAAAATCCTTGGCCATATTTATTTCCTCAATTTCAAATTGTGGGTATGTGTGTGGTGGAGGTGAGTACGGATAACCACATGATTGCAGATTCTTCAAGTATGAAGGCACGATCATTAGATTAGAACTTCCAAGTCTTCAGACCAGAAGCTCCTTAGATTGTTAATGCATAACTAAGTGAATTTTGACAAAACATTTTAATTGTCCTATATAGGAAATTATTGAGGATGGAGAAAGTTTGGAAGTTCAAGCTGTGCTAAATGAGGAGCGCTACCAGGCTTTCAAAGTAAGTTTTCACTTTATTCATCCTGCAACTGCTTACGAGTTGCATATCATGGCATGATATGATATAAGTGGTGAGGACACAGATCTGGCTTCCACTGTCTCACCCTTCACAGGCTTGGGGTCATGGCTTGCTTGCTCTACCACAAACCAGCCCTGTAGCCTTGGACAACTCACTCCACCTGTAGATCGCAGTTTTACTTACTTTAAAATAACTGATTTACTCTAGATCAGGGGTTCTTAACTTTTTTCTGTGTTAAATAGACCCTTTTCTCAGTCTGGTGATACCTATAGACCCATTCTCTATAAATTGTTTTTATAATAGCTAACATTTATATAGTACTTTAAGGTCTGAAAAGAGCTTTACAAATATTATCTAATTTTATCCCTATATCAATTCTGAGAGGTAAGTGCTATTAGTATCTCTATTTTACAGATATGGAAACTGAGGCAAACAGAAGTTGAGTGACTTGGCCAGGGTCATACAGCTAGTAAGTATCTAAAGCTATATTTGAACTCAGATCTTCCTGACTCCAAGTTGATTATGTCCTAGCTGCATAAAAATGCATAAAATAAAATACATAGGGTTACAAAGAAATCCAATTATGTTGAAATAGCAACAATAACAGCTAACATTTATAAAGTACTTACCATGTATCAGGCACTGTGCAAAAGGACCGTACAATTATTATTTCATTTGATCCTCACAACAACCCTGAGAGGTAGGTACTATTATTATCCCCATTTTACAGATGAGGGAACTGAGGCAAACAAAGGTTAAGTGACTTGCCCAGGGTCACACAGTTGGTAAGTGTCTGAGGCTGGATTTGAACTCAGGTCTTCCTGACTCTGGGTTCAGTGCTCTATCCATTGTGTTACCTAGCAATATAAAATACATAGGATTACAAAGAAAATAATTATGCTGAAATACAGGTATCAAAATATTTATTTTTTAAAACAAGTTCACAGATCCCAGGCTTAGAAATTACTTCGAAATACAGCTAAGGCAGCTAGGTGGCACAATGGATAGAATGCTGGTGTGGAGTCGGGAGGACCTGAGTTCAAATCTAGCCTCAAACACTTACTAGTTGTATGACCCTGAGCAAGTCATTTAATCCTCTTTGCCTTAGTTTCTTATCTGTAGAAGGCAGAGAAGGGAAAATGTAGGTGGAGAAAGGAGAAAGAAATCTAGAGAAGGAAATGGCAAACCACTCTCATATCTCTGCCAAGAAAACCCCGAATGTAGTCAGACATGACTTAAGAGTGACTAACAAGAAAATGTACTAGGCAAAAGTGACCAAAAAAATCCAATAAATAAAACAATCATTGAAAGAGATTTATGTTCTTTTTTTATAATTAATTAATTAATTAATTTTTGGCTAGGCAATGAAGTTAAGTGACTTGCCCAGAGTCACACAGCTAGTAAGTGTTATGTCTGAGGCCTGATTTGAACTTAGGTCTTCCTGGCTCCAGGGCCGGTGCTCTATCCACTGCACCACCTAGCTGCCCCGAGATTTATGTTCTAACGAGGGAGATAAACTTAGACAAATACTGGGCAGAAGGCATAGGATCACCATAGCATAGATTTTAGAGCATCAAGGGACCTCTGAGGCCTCCATCTTGGTCACGTGGCTGATCAATCTTCATTCCCTTCCTCCCTTTCCTTCCGATTCTTCACTTGAGCTGCCTTCTTGCTCTGGAACATTCCTCCACCATTGGGTCCCATTTTCCCATTGGTGAGTTCCTTCTAAGGCTCCCATTTTGAGAAGGGGCCCAGGCAGGCCAACCTTCATTCTACTCCTACTTCTGCTTCTGAATCTCCAGACTTTACTTCTATTCCCTGGTTTTGCTTCTCAGCCCCCTTTTATGTGTTGTCTTCCCCCATTAGAATGTAAGCTCCTCGAGAGCAGGACTGTCTTGCTTTTTGCTTATATTGAAGTCCCCAGCTTTTAGCATAATGCCTAGCACATAGTAAAAGGTTAATAAATAACTCTTGCCTGCCTCCCTGTCTGTTCCAACCCCCTCACTTTACAGATGAGGAAACTGAAGCCCAGAGAAATGAAGTGACTTGTCTAAGGCCACACAGGTGGTAAAATGGCAGAGCCAACATTTGAACCCAGATCCTCTGAGTCTAAATCAGGCTTTGAGGGCTTGAAAATATTATTTTATTATCTCTATAACTCTTTATAGTTCATTGTGACTCATGCCTTCCTATTTGTTATAGCTGTTTACATCCGTGTTTGGAGTGGGCTTAAAGACGGCTGAGAAATGGTACCGAATGGGCTTCAGGACACTAAGTAAAATCCGATCCGACAAAAGCCTGAAATTTACCAAAATGCAGGAAGCAGGTAAATGAGTCTCTCTAAGGGGCTGTCGCTTTAATATGTTGAGGCTGAGGAGGCGAGGTGAGAAGAAGGGGAAATAGAACGTCTGGGAGAGCAGCATGTGAGCTGTCTGTAGGTCTGATGATATTTCCTTCCCCCTTTTTGATGGCTACCCAGGACTAGGGTAGGAAGGTAAGCAGGCTGTACCCCACTCTAAGCTGCTGATGTACCCTGGGGACCGGCCTGGAATGACAGCTGAATTCAAGCATCCTCTTTGAGCAGTCAAAGGAAGTCAATTACAGAAAGGTTGGATGGAGGTAAATGGGACCATAGGAGCATAGATCAGTTGGCCGATTAATCCAACCTTTTCATTTTTAGAAATGGGGCAAATGAGTCTCAGAGAGGTGAAATAACCTGCCCAGGATTGCACAGCTAATAAGTATTGGAGGTGGAGTCCAAAGCCAGGTCTTCCTAACACCAGGTCCAGCACTCTAATTTCCTACAACATGCTGCCTCTCAGTAGTCTAATGTGATAAGCATTGAGGGAAAGATGCCAACATAATGGCCCCATTCTTTGACTCTAACATGAACCTTATTCTTGAATTTCAATTCTATGTTTTCAGATGCCCAAAGCCCTGGGGTTGCCTCAACCTCAACGCATACAAAATTCTCCACACAACCAGCTTCACCTCCTGACTTTGTAATTTTGCTAATAGAGCCACAATTCTCCCAGCCAAGTCGGCTGGAAATCTTTTTTTGTTTTTTTTTTGTTTGTTTTTTTAGGCAATTGGGGTTAAGTGACTTGCCCAGGGTCACTCAGCTGGTAAGTGTCAAGTCTTTGGTCTGAGGCTGGATCTGAACTCAGGTCCTCCTGACTTCAGGGCTGGTGCTCTATCCACTGTACCCTCTAGCTGCCCCACAGCTGGAAATCTTGAAGTTGTCTCTGGTTCTTCCTTTTCTCTGGTTCCCCATGGTTAATCAACACTCCCTCTTTTATAATCACTTGCATCTCTCTCTTCCTTTTCATCCCCACTACTGCTACCTAGAACCAGTTCCTTAGCAATTCATACCTTCAATAGTTTCCCTGCCTATGGAAATATACTTTGCATGATCTTATATGTAGAATTGGTATCATGTTGCTTGCCTTCTCAGTGGGTAGGGGAGGGGTGAGACAGAGGGAGAGAATTTGGAACTCAAATGTTAAAAAAAGAGTGTTCAAAAATAAAGCGATACTTTTAAATAAATAAAGGTTTCCTTGTCCTTTTGACATTTTGTTCTCTATGAAACCAGCCTGCACTCCCACCAAACAGAAACATGACTATGATAACATCACTTCCCCACCCAAAGACCTGGAATAGGTCCTCATTACCAATAAGGCATAGAGGAGAAAACACAAATTCTTTTCTATTTTAAGGCCCTCTATAGTTTGGCAGCCACAGTCAGGCTATAGAATCTTTTTAAAAACCATTTTCAACATATACATAAAGATGTAATTAAAAATAACCAAAAAAATCTAAGAAAAGCATCATATCTCAAAAACCCAAATATCATCCCAAGTCTGCAAACATACCCAAGTGGATCTCTGATCCATTAGATTGGATCACAGAACTCCTTGAGGGCAGAGGTTGTCTTCTGCCTTTCCTTTTGCACTTAGCACAGTGATGCTTAATAAAGGTTTATTCGCTGACTGATCTCATCAATTCAGGAGTTCTCTCCAATGATGGAAATCAACACTCATCCATGTCTGCCACATCCTCTCAGCAGCTCACTCCTGGGGATGCATCCGACTTGCTCCTGACATTGTGATGATACCAGTAGTACCTCTGGCTGGCTGTTCACCGTCCCTAACCTTTGCCGCGTGACCAGCCCTATAACATCTTTCACTTCTGTTCTTCGAAGTTCTTCTTTGGGTGTTTGTATGTTGCAGCCTGTTCATACCCACTGTGCTCCTGCCCGTTGTCTCCATTGTTAGTTATAATGGGCATTCCTTTTGTGTATGTTTTGTGCTAGCTGGCTCCTGAGTTCCCATCCAGTTCCCAAATTCTGTGATTCTGCCCTCTATGTGATATCAATCTTAAATTCTGCAGAGACTGAGGAGGTTTTATGTCTCACAACCACACAACCTGAATAGGAACTTTAAAAAAATCCCTCCCATCCAAGTCATATTCAAAGGTGCATCATAAGCTGCAGGAATATTAATGGGACAGTCTTGGAGCAGCAAGAAAGTCAATGTACAAGAAAACAACAGCTGGTCAGTAAATGGTTTAAACTTGTTTTTAAACATGAAGGGGGTAATATCGGATTGACTAGAAATGATCACTCTCGGTATTGTTTGTGTCACCCAAGAGAGTTACAGGAATGCATGGTTCGCTTCTAGCCCAGATCAGGATATTTCACACACTGTCTGCAGCTTTTTTATTTCCAGTGGATGTGTCAAACTGTTTTTCAGGGTTCCGTTATTATGATGACCTCATTGCCTGTGTGTCCAAGGCAGAAGCAGATGCAGTGAGCTTACTAGTTAAAGAAGCTGTCTGGACTTTTTTGCCTGATGCTTTAGTCACCATGACAGGAGGGTTCCGAAGGTGAAGAAGCACAGTTTAGTTTAATGTTTCACTAACTGTTACCCTAGATCTGCCCCATCCCCAACACCTTCTGCCAGATTAAAAATATTAGACTATTGATGCTGCTTGACAATCCTATGGCATCCTATGTCAATGAAGCCTCCTCACTGTGTTTTTTCATTACTTTCTTAGGGGAAAGGAGTTTGGGCATGATGTAGATTTTTTGATAACTAGCCCAGGAGCAGAAAAAGAACAAGAAAATCCAGCTTTTACAGAAAGTTACTAACTTATGGGAAAAACAGGTAAAACATTAAGCTAAATACGGAAATGTGTTTTTCATAACTGCATACATAAAATCTATATCAAAGAGCTTACCTTCTCAAGGAAGGGGGGAAGGAAGGAGGGAATTTGGAACAAAAACTTATAAAAAAAAGAATGTTAATAGCTGTTTTTACATGTGGTTGAGAAAAAATAAAATAAAGACATTCTTTAAAAAATTTAAGCTACCTAACAAATGCTTAGTTATTTAAACATTATATTAGCACCACTGAATTTGGCCCCAGAAACATCTACTTCATCTCTTGTATTACGTTTGTTTAGGTCATTCTTAACTAATTACATTAATGGCAGAGGACAATAGCTCAGATCTTCCCAAATGCTATGCTCTCAAAGGTGTTATTCTCTACCCTATAAGGTGTTTTATGACCATGAATATATTTCTGGTACTCTGAATTTAGATCAAGAAGAGTTCAAACCTTTACTTCCATCCTCCTCCTCTTCTACGCTGCAGTGAGCCCCGTCTCTCTGAAACCCATCATCCTCAGTCTCAGTAGGACTTCTACTTTCTTTCTTTTTCCAGTTCATTTCTTTGATTGTCTAACCCCAGCTTATTTCCTCGACTATCTCACCCATGCTAGATATGCTGCAACCAGTCCAGGACCCATCCCAATAATGATTGGCACAGAAGCTTTCACCTGCTCCATTTTAGTGACCTGGGCCAGTTAGCCCCGTCTTAGGCAGCCTGGCGGCCCCCAGCTCTTACAAACTCACAATATTGGTGTGGAAATTAGTGTAGATACCCAGTTGGCTTCAGCTTTCCTGCAGCTCAGAACTCCTGAGCTCAAGGAATCCCAGCCTCCCCCTCTCCAGCAGCGTGGTCTATAGGCTTGCATCATCAAACACCCTTAGGCTTCTTTTCATAGAAAAGAAGTTGATATGTTTCTTATTTTCTTTTCCTTTCTGTGTTGTCATGGAGTGTGTTCTCTGCTTACATAGAGGAGGAAAAAACAGTGGATAAATGCTATTCCCTTTGGCAATTTGTCCTCTTGATGACTTTGGGAAAAATTTTAAATTGATTTACATGCAGTCAATACTCAATTATTCACAGATGACTAACTCATATTGTGCACTATTTACGGATAACTTTAAATTCTAGTCCAAATCTTCCCTACTACTACCTAGGACTTTGGATTCTTAATTTTTTTCTCCTCAACCTGTTTTCTGAGTCAGTTGTTTTTGCTGTGATATGTCTTACATTTTCTTCTATTTTCCCCAGTATTTTGACTTTGTTTTTAATATTTCTTATTGTTCCATGCAGTCATTGGCTTCTATTTCACCCAACCTAATTTTCAGAGAGTGTATTGCTTGAGCAAAGTTTTGTACCTCTTGTGCCAAACTGTTAATTTTCTTTCCAATTTTCTTCCATAGCTCTTGTTTATTTTCCAATATTTTTTATTCTAGCATTCTTGTTTCATTTACAAAAACACTTTCTAACTCTTGCTTTATCTCTTCCAGGAATCCTGGTTGTGTTTTACTTCGACGCTTTGCTTGTAGGTGTTTTAGAGTTATTCTCTTCTTCTGAGTCTGAGTCTTAAGCTTCCTCATCATCATAATGGCTTTTTGGTGACATTCATTTTTGTTTGCTCATTCTTCCAATCTATTTCCTGACCTCAGACTCAGCGTTAGGACCATGGTCTGAGCATGTTTGGAGGGAAGGTCTGGGCTGGTCTTGTTTCTGTTTTCATCTATTTCACCAGGATGTTAGGACAGCTCAAGTTGGGGACTTGCAAACTTTCAGGACCCCCAAAGTGGTCTGCTTCAGAGCAAAGTGTGGTTGCTGCTCTCCTGGTCTGAGTCCTGCAAGTTCCTGACCTGGTTTGGAGTCTGCTATTGCATTCTGCCTCTATTAATTAGCTGAGAAGATCTGCTTAAGAATGACAAAACTGCAGGCTCCCCTTGGGCCTGGGATTCCTGGCCTTTATTGCTCTAATAGGCTTCAGAGTAGGCTAGAGGCTGGAACTGAGACCCCGCTCTGATCTTTGGGTTTGATCCACATCTCTGCTGCTTGCTTCTGAACTTGCTCTCCTCTAGGTACAAAACCTATGACTTGCAACCACTCCTTAGACCTAATACCACATCTGGCTGCAGGTCCACTCCCTGACCTGGATCTATGATCTGGAACTGGGTAGTGGGCGACAAAGCTACTAGATGGCACCTATTCCCATGGCAATGTCCCAGTATAGGGATCTCTGTATCTCAAATAGGTACTTCAGTATCTGGGACCTCTGCTGCCCAAACGTACAGCTTCTGGGTGCTGGAAAGCTCCAGCCAACTGCTCCTTGCTAGACTTAATCCCCAGTGTCCATAGAACTGTCTGTCTCCCTATGCCCACCTATGCTGGAAAAATGACTCTATGTAACTTTTTCTTGGATTTCCCTATCAGGATTCTACCTGATGTATTTTCTAGATCTATTTGAAAGAGCAATTGAGATAAAGAGGATGTATTGATTCATGTTACTCTAGCTTCTTGGCTCTTCCCAATCTATCTTTTCAGCTACCATTATCCATTCCTCCCTTTCCTGCATTATACATTTCAGGCAAACCTGCATTTTTCTGCATTCTTCCCATATGATGCTCCATCTCTCATCCCCATCCATGCTTTCACCCTTGGCCATCCCCAATGCCCAGAAGGCACTCTTTCCTTACCTCCACCTCATAGAATCCCTGGATCCCTTCAAGATGCAGTTCGAGCACCAACTTCTACACTCAGGTTTTTCTGATCTAGTCTTTCTCCCAATTGCTAATTCCCTTCTTTCCTAATTAACTTATATTTAACTCACTTATTGATAAACTGCACTTTATTACTTATATTTTGCACCTCTTATTCTGAATAGATATATGTGTGCAGATTGTCTCCCTCAGTAAAATAATCCCTTGAGAAGAGGAATTGTTTCTCTGTTTTGTGTCTTGGTTTCTTCAGCACCCACCACACTAACTAGCACATAGTAGGCTCTTAATAAATACATTGATTTATTGATTGCTAAAGCACTTTAGAAAGTATAAAGCCTTGAAAAATGTAAGCTATTATTCTGAATCAGCTAGTGGATTGGACTAGTTGACCTCCAATGTCCCCTTCAAGTCTGGCATTCTATGATTTTCAATCCTTTTTTATTTTTAAGAAAAAGAAAAACAGATGCAGAAAAAGATGTTTTACAAAATAACAGCACCCATTCCTATTAGAAACACTAAAGAGCATAGGAATAAATGGAGTTTTCCTTAAAATGATAAATAGTATCTATCTAAAACCATCAGCAAGCATTATATGTAATAGGGATAAGCTAGAAGCATTTCCAAAAAGATCAGGGGTGAAACAAGGATGTCCATTATCACCACTATTATTCAATATTGTACTAGAAATGTTAGCTTTAGCAGTAAGAAAAGAAAAAGAAATTGAAGGAATTAGAGTAGACAATAAAGAAACAGAACTATCACTCTTTGCAGATGATATTACAGTATACTTAGAGAATCCTAGAGAATCAACCAAAAGGCTACTTAAAATAAAACAACTTTAGCAGAGTTGCAGGATATAAAATAAACCCACATAAATCATTGGCATTTCTCTATATTACTAACAAAGCCCAGCAGCAAGAGATAGAAAGAGAAATTCCATTTAAAATAACTGTAGACAATATAAAATATTTGGTAGTCTGCCTGCCAAGAAAAATCTAGGAACTACATGAACACAATTACAAAACTTTTCACACAAATAAAATCAGATCTAAATAGTTGGAAAAATATCAGTTGATCATGGGTAAGCCAAGCTAATATAATAAAAATGACAGTTCTACCTAAATTAATTTACTTATTCAGTTCCATACCAATCAAACTATTTATAGAGCTAGAAAAAAAAATAATAAAATTCATCTGGAAGAACAGAAGGCTCAGAATATCAAGGGAATTAATGTAAAGAAATGCAAGAGAAGGTGACCTACCCATACCATATCTAAAAATAAAAATTAAAAAAAAACACACTAAAAAAACCATAAAAACTAAAAAAAAATAGCAATCACTAAAACTATCTGGTAATGGCTAATAAAGAGAGTGGTGGATCAGTGGAATAGGTTAGGTACACAAAACACTGTAGCCAATGATTATTACAGTAATCTACTGTTTGATAAACTCAAGGACTCCAGCTTCTGGAATAAGAACTCATTATTTGACAAAAACTGCTGGGAAAACTGGAAAGCAGTATGGCAGAAACTAGGCATAGACCAACACCTTACACCCTATACCAAGATAAGGTCAAAATGAGTGCATGATTTAGACATAAAGGGGGATACCATAAGCAAATTAGGAAGGCAAGGAATAGTTTACCTGTCAGATCTATGGAGAAGGGAAGAATTTATGACCAAACAAGAGATAGAGAACATTGTGAAATGCAAAATTAATAATTGTGATTTCATTAAATTAAAAAGGTTTTACACAAACAAAGCCAATGCAACCAAAGTTGGAAGGGAAGCAGAAAGCTGGAAAATAATTTTTCCAGCCACTGTCACTGATAAAAGCTTCATTTCCAAAATATAAAGAGAACTGAGTCAACTTTATAAGAATACAAGTCATTCCCCAACTGATAAATGGTCAAAGGATATGAACAGGCAGTTTTCAGATAGAGAAATTAAAGCAATCTATAGTCAAATGAAAAAATGCTCTAAATCACTTAAAGAAATGCAAATTAAAACAGCTCTGAGGTACCTCATTACACCTATCAGATTGGCTAATACGACAAAACAGGAAAATGATAAATGTTGGAGAAGATGTGGGAAAATCTGAACACTAGTGCATTGTTGGTGGAGTTGTGAGCTGATTCAACCATTCTGGAGAGCAATTTGGAACTATGCCCAAAGGGCTGTAAGACTGTGCATACCCTTTGATCCAGCAATAGCACTACTAGGTCTATATCCCAAAGAGAACATAAAAAAGAGGAAAGGAACTATTTGTACAAAAATATCTATAGCAGCTCTTTTTGTAGTGGCAAAGAATTGTAAATTAAGGGGATGCCCATCAATTGGGGAATGGCTAAATAACTTGTGGTATGTGGTTATAATGGAATATTATAGTGGAAGTTCTATAAGAAATTATGAGCAGGTAGATTTCAGAAAAACCTGGAAAGATTTACATGGACTGATGCTGGGTGAAGTGAACAGAACCTGGAGAATATTGTGCATTGTTAACAGTAACATTGTGCGATGATGGACTTTGTTAGACTTAGCTCTTCTCAGCAATGCAATGATCTAAGACAATTCCAAAGGACTTATGATGGAAAATGCTGTACATATCCAGAGAAAAAACTATGGAGTCTGAATGCAGATGGAAGCATACTATTTTCTCTTTTTTCTTTCTCATGGTTTTTCCCTTTTGTTCTGATTCTTCTTTCACAACATGACTAATGTGGAAATGTGTTTAATATGATTATACGTGTATAATCTATATCAAATTGCATGCTGTCTTGGGAAGGGGGAAGGGAAGGGAGGAAGAAAAAAATTGAAACTCAAAATCTTGTAAAAGTGAATGTTGAAAACCATCTTTGCATGAAATTGGAAAAAATAAAATACTATTAAGTGGAGAAAAAAGAAAAAGAAAAAAGTGCATTGTCTGGTAACTCAGACAATGCAGTCCTGCTAGTACAACATTTACATGCAGTCTCTGTGGTTGGAGTTGAGTCCCTTTATTTTCTCATTTCCTCTTCTGCAAAGTGGGAAAAAGGCAGTGACCTTTTCCTTCCTCTTTCTCAGGGATGGAAGGAAGGTACCTAAATGAATAGCATTTAAATGATTTTTTTTAGGTCTTTTAGGTTTGTTCCAAGGAGACCCAATGTGAAATGTATGGTTTTCCTATTTACTTGGGAAAGGATAATGAAACCCTTTTGCTTTTTGTTTTTAGGGATTACTTTTGTACTATGACCTCATGCTGTCAACATTTGAAGACCTAAAACTGCCAAGCAGGAAGACTGATGCTTTAGATCATTTTCAGAAATGCTTTTTGATTCTAAAATTATACCATCAGAGGGGAGACAGGAGCAAATGGGAAATGTCTGCAGGGTCGAATGTGCTGGAAGCAAAAAACTGGAAGGCCATCCGCGTGGATCTGGTGGTATGTCCGTATGATCGGTATGCATATGCTCTGCTAGGCTGGTCAGGCTCGAGGGTAAGTCTTTCAGGAGTCTACAGAGATGCTATTTTTGAACCATTAACTCATATTTAGTCTTTGCAAGATTTTGGTGGTTTCCAGTTAGGCACAGGGACATGAAGATTTGGGGGGAAAACCCTTCCAAATAGGATTATTTTCACGTAGACTTAATCAAGAGGGACAGTGTAATGACATAGATGGATGGCTTCTTGGACTGGAAGTCGGAAGACCTGGCTTCTAGTACCAAGCCCCACCCCTCACTAGATCTGTGACCATGGCCAAGTTAGTGAAACTCTCTGAGCCTCAATTAATTCACCTTTGAAATGGGAGTAAGACTATCTAGCCTTCGTATTTCACAGACACCCTGTGAGGATCAAAGGGGCTAATGGATGTGTAAACCCTTTGAAAACTGAAGAGCACGCTACACATGTAAGGCATTATTACTGTTCCTACTCATAGAACTCTGGACTAAGGTCAAGAAACCTGGGTCTAGATGACTCTGCCCCTTGCGAGTATGAAATCCTGGGCAAATTAACTTTTCTTGCCCTCATCCTCCCAAGAAGACTCAGAATGTTAGGACTTGAAGGGAGATTCAAGATCATAAATCACAGAATCATCTTCTAGTCCAGTACCTTATTTTACAGTGACTCACTCAGCTGCTTAGTGGCAGAGCAGAGACTAGAACCCCAAGTGCCACCGTAAACCCTTGTCTGGGGCTCTTTCCATTACATTCTGCCAGCTTTCATAATCTTACACATCCTGTAAGTGTTCATTAATGGAGATTCGGAAACTGTTAGCGTGGCTTAGTGTCTAGGGCGCTGAACTTGAAGTCAGGAAGCCCGAGGTTCAAAGCCTCTGTAGACACTTACTAGCTGAGTGACCCTGAGCAAGTCACTTCACCTCTATATGCCTCTGTTCCTCACCCGTAAAATCAGGATAATAATAGCACCTACCTCCCCGGGTTGTTGTAAAGATCAAATGAGATAATATTTGTAAAGTTTTTAACATAGTACCTGGCACATAGTAGGTACTTGTTTTCTTCCTTCCTATTCTTATCTTTGCTACCACAAAAAATTCCACTAAACTTATTTGGTTGTATAGGGGGTCTTTCTTTTTGTCATTGTCCTCTAAAGGTATACGTCTAGCAATGGAATCTGAGCCAAAGAGTACGGATATTTTAGACACTTTCTTCACATAATTCCAAGTTGCTTTCCAGAATGGTCAGACCAATTCACAGCTTCATAAATAGTGCTTTAGTATTTTATCTGTCTTTCTACAAGGAGGCAGGTAGGTGGCTCAGTGGATAGAGTTCTGGGCCTGGAAGTCAGGAAGCCCTGAGTTCAAATGTGGCCTCAGATACTTACTAGCTGTGTGACCTTGGGCAGATCCCCTAACCTCTGTTTGCCTTAATCCACTGGAGAAGGAAATGGAACACCATTTCCAATATCTTTGCCAAGAAAATCCTGTGGATGGTATGGGTGTGCTATGGTCCACGGGGTCAAGGAGAGTTGGACATCACTGTGCAACAACAAATCTTTCTACAGTCCCTTTAACATTGACTATTCATATGTGCTGCTACCTTTGCCAGTTTGCTAGGTGCAAGATGAAACCGTAAGGCTGTTTTCATGTGCATTCCCCTCATTATGAGTGATCCAGACCGTTCTTTCACATCGCTGTTGATAGGTTGCAGTTCTTCTTTTGACAACTGTTCCCATCCTTTGAGCGATTATCTATTAAAGAATGGCTTTTGGTCTTATGCATTTCTCTTAGTTGTTTATATATCTTGGATATAAGATTTACCAAAACAAAATCAGATTTCTCTTCCTGACTCATCCATTGGAAAAATCTTAACAAGTCTTTTTCTTTCTAAGTCAATTGTGTGGAACTTGGAACTCATTTTCCCACAGACACGGAGTTATAAATGGAGGACAGAATCACAGGGCAGCCCCTAAAAGCTGATTTAACCTATAATGTAGTTGGACTACAGAACTAATGGTACCACAGACCTGACCACCATTTATAACACTGAATGAGAAACAGATTTCCTACCACAGACACAGATAAGGAACTATCTGTCCCCAACCACCACACATTGTGGAGAGGGCAGAGACTTTCCCTGCTCCCAACCAGTAGCAATAAGAATGTCTCTGGGGAGGGGGCAGCTAGGTGGCATCGTGGATAGAGCACCAGCCCTGGAGTCAGAAGGACCTGAGTTCAAATCCAGCCTCATACCAGACACTTGACACTTACTAGTTGTGTGACCTTGGGCAAGTCACTTAATCTCAATTTCCTCACCAAAAAAAAAAAGTATGTCTCTGGGTCCAAAGTATTTCCATTAGGGCCTCCAGTTGGGATGCAGGGGCTGGGATAAGGAGAAGGGATCAATATTGTTGTTTCTATGGAAAAATGGGATCAAGTTTTAAACATGCAGCTTGGGAATTAATGGTTCTTTCCCACTGTTTGATAAGTCTTACATGACTCACAATCACATTTGTAACTAGTCAGTTGGCCCCCAAAGTAAGAATACAGACTTGTTGTTTTTGTTGTTGTTTAATCGTGTTCAGTCTTGTCTGACTCTTCCTAACCCCATTTGGGGTTTTCTTGGCAAAGGTACTGTAGTAGTTTGCCATTTCCTTCTCCAGCTCATTTGACAGGTGAGGAAACAGAGGCAAACAGGGGTAAGTAACTTGTCCATGGTCACACAACTAGTAAGTGTCTGAGGGCAGATTTGAACTCAGGAAGATGTCTCCCTGACTCCAGCCCTGGCACTCTATCCTTTGCACCACCTAGCTGCCCTCTACAAACGAGTGCCCGCTCTATATTTTCTAGTAGATATTTTTGCATATTTTAAATATTTTTCTTTCACCTTCGGCTCTGCTTGCACCCAAGACAAGTAATTCACTTGTTTTATCCTTGTTTTATCTCTGCTTATAAGAGTCCATGAACTTGTATCACCCCAGGCCAAGCTTCTCCTGGGCTTGCCAATCTCTCGATGACCGGGTATACAACATGTCCAAGCTGCCTCCAATCTCTTTGAGGCTATGTCTACCTACGAGTCAAATCTTTGTTCTAGGGATAAGAAGCTAGATTCCAGTCAGTCAGCCAATCAGTCAATAAGCATTTGTTTAAGTTAACAATCCAGGTCCTATGCTAAGCATTGAGGATACAAGGAAAGTCAAAAGACAAGTCCCTGCTCTCACGCAGCTCGTAGTCAACACAATGACTATGTGCCAGGGCCAAGGCAAGCAGGGAAGAGTAGCTAAGAGGGAGCTATGCTGTGTAGAATACAGATGCAGACAGGAAGGATCTCAACAGCAGTCTGGGCCAACCTGTGCCTGAACAAGACTCTTCTCTACAGTCTTGGTCATCCATCCAGTCTTCCCTTGAAGACCTCTAGGCAAGACTAACCCCACTGCCTTCCAAGGCCATCCATTCCCCTTAGAGGCAGCTCAAAACACTAGGAAGGTTCTTCCCACCCTATGCCAAGTGGTACCCATGTTCTTAGTTCTGCCTTATGATCCAAGAACAAGTCTACTGCCTCTTCCAAGTTTGAAGGTAGTTCTCACATTTCCCCTAAGACTTCTCCTTGTCTAGACTAAACATGGGTAGTGGCCAGGTGGCACAGTGAATAGGGTGCTGGACTTAGAAACAGGAAGACTTGAGTTAAAATCCTGCCCTTACTGGCTGTGTGACCCTAGGCAAGTCACTTAACATCTGTCTGCCTCAGTTTCTTCATCTGTAAAATGGGGACAATAATAATAGTACCTATTTCACAGGGTTTTTTGTAAGGATCAAATGAGATAGCATATGTAAAGTGCTTTGCAAACTTTAAGGCATGATTTAATACTAGCTATTATAATTGAACATAGCATTGTGGAATTAGCATTGGAAGAGACACTAAGTGAAACCCCTCATCTTACAGGCATGGAAACAGGTCCAGAGAAGTTAAGGGACCTGTCCAAGGTCACACAAGTGGTGAATGGCAGAGATAAGGCTCAAAGCCATGTTCTCTAACTCCAGATCCAGAGTTTAAAACCTGGGAATCAACAGGTTTTATTTTGGATTGTTTCCCTTTTTCCTCCACCTCGAGTTGGAGAATTCCTTTCCTTAAGAATGACAGTCCTGAAAAAAAAAAAAAAGAATGACAGTCCTGGATTCTCAGGGAATTTTTTTTTAAAATAATGCTGGGTCTAACACATCACCACATTAAGTGCATTTCAGGAAACTATGCTTCTGAAGTTCGTGTCCTTCTTTGCTTGCTTCATGGAATATGCTCCCTCCTGCACCACCAGGGGGAGCTGTCACCCCATTTGTCCCTCCCTCACTCCATCTGGGCTGAAGTACGGGGCTTCTGTGAGGTTTCCTCACTTCGAACAAAGTTTGCCTCAAATCCCGCATCCTCTTCTCTGCCTCCCTCTCTTTCTGTTTCATGGCCTTACTTTTCTTTCTTTCTCTTTCTCTTCTTTCTTTCTTTCTTTCTTCTTCTTCTTTCTTTCTTTCTTTCTTTCTTTCTTTCTTTCTTCTTTCTTTCTTTCTTCTTCTTCTTTCTCTTCTTCTTTCTTTCTTTCTTTCTTTCTTTCTTTCTTTCTTTCTTTCTTTCTTTCTTTCTTTCTTCTTTCTTCCTTCCTTTCTTTCTTTCTTTCCTACAGATGATCACATTGAAAACTAATTTTCATTTCTATGATTGTCAGAAATTTCATTCCTTGGCGCTCTACTTTGCCAGTCTCATACCTCTAACGTCATCATCCCATGTGCCTATGAGGGAAACAATATTTAAAGAATTAGCCTTTTCTCAAGCCTTGGGTGTTGTACTGAAGAGACCTGGAACCCAGGAATTAAGACTTCCTGAGACACTTGCTACCTGTGTGACCCTGGCAAGGTTACCTAATATCTCTGGTCCTCAGTTTCCTCATCTGTAAAATGGGTATACTATTACCCATAGCATTCAATCTTACAAGGTCATTGTGAGAATCAAACGAGCTAATATATGTAAAAGTGCTTTACAAATCTTAAAGCACTATATAGGCTGTCTCCAAAGTCTTCATTTTCACAGACTTTTTCATGGTATTAGACCTAGAAGGGGCCTCAAAGGTGATCTGGGTCAACTCTGTCATTTTATGGATGACAAAACTGAGGCCAAAGTCTCAGGTGTGGCTAAGCTAGGGCTAGAAGCTGGGTTTCCTGCCATGCTGATTTCAAAGCACCTCCTCAAAACACTGATATCATCAGGACAGAGAATTCTCATGATCCAATGAGTCCAAAGGAATTATCACCTCCCTGGGTCAGGACACTATATTTCTATTGATGCAACTTAAGATCACATTACTTTTTTGTGTTTTTATTTTTAGCCGCTACATCATACTGTTGACTCATGTTGACTCTGTAGTGCACAAATTGTGCACTCTCTCCCATATATTTTTTAATGTTAAGAATTTTTATTTAACATTTTAAATCAACACCTTGGATTAAGGCATAAATGACACACTCAACAAATTTATAGAGGACACTAGCTGAAACTTTGTGGGCTAGAGCCAGGAGCAAGGGAGATCTTGGACAAATTAGAAAAATGAGACAAATCAAGGAAAATGAAACTTAATAGAAATAAATTTTAAGTCCTATAACTACATTAGAATCATCTGTACTAGTGGTGTCAAACTCAAATAGGAATGGAGGCCACTAAATAGTAGATAAAGATTCCTACATCTCATAATGATTGGAAAACCATATATTGGCATTATCTACGTTTTATTGTATTTTTATTTATTTTGTTAAATACTTCCCAACTACATTTTATTCTGGTTTCAGCCAAACTCGTGGAAGGTCAAATGACTTGCCCAGGGTCATGTAGTGAGTCTAAGATGGGATTTGAACCCAGGTCTTCTTGATTCTAAGTGCATTACTCCATCCATGATGCCGCAATGCCTCAAAAGTACAGGAAAAGGAGGCATAGCTAGAATACAATTTATTTGGGAAAGGCTTACAAATTTTAGTGGACAGTATATAAGCTCAGGGCAGCTGGGTGGTACAGTGGATAGAGTGCCAGACCTGGTCAGGAAGACTTATCTTTCTGAGTTCAAATCTGCCCTGAGACACTTACTAAGTGTGTGACCCTGGGCAAGTCACTTAACCCTGTTTGTCTCAGTTTCCTCCTCTGTAAAATGAACTGGATAAGGAAACAGCAAACCACTCCAGTATCTTTGCCAAGAAAACCCCAAATGGAGTCACAAAGAGTCAGACATGAGTGAAAACAACTGAAAAACAATATATAAGCTAAGTATGAGTCACTAGTGAGATGCAGTAGGGGGAAAAATAAGCTGATATCATCAAGGTCTACATTAAGAGAGGCATAGTTCGCAGAATGAAGGAAGTGATTGTTCAATTGTATTCAGACCCAGGCAGCCCACACCTAGACTCACTGTGTTCAGCTCTGGGTGCTACTTTTTAGGAAGGACATTGACAAACCAGAGAGTCTGTACAGAGTCTATACAGAGAAGAGCAATCAGGATGGAGATAGAGAGCACATAAGCTCAATTGACAGTTGAGTCAATGATGTTTAGCTGAGAGAAAAGAAGATGACAGTCTTCCATATTTAAGAGACTATGAATTGCACAGGATATGTTGCAATCTGGACCACTGGAGGGAATCATCACAACAGGGAGATAACAGACATAATGAAATATTAAAGCACAAGCCCTACGGAAAGTGGTATTAGGAATATTCTTCTTGGCCACAGCACCTGCCCAGCTGAAAAAAGATGCTGCAAATGTATGGCTGAAACTGACATTTTGTTCTCTTTATCAAATTTATCATAGCAACCATTTCTATTCTTTGTTGGCTATCCCAGAACATGAATAATTAAGTAATAAAGACATTCTGAGTATGATATGAAATTACATCTAATATGTTATTCACAGCAATTTGAAAGAGACTTGAGGAGGTATGCTACCCATGAGAAGAAGATGATGCTGGATAACCATGCTCTGTATGATAAGACTAAGGTAGAGGGTTTTTTTCTTTGAAGTGAATAATGTTCTTCATAATCTCCAAGGTTACATATTATAACTATATGTTCATATATGTATATGTGTGTTTATATTGATCTATATACATACATATTATTCCTCAGTTATTGATTTCTCGTGCAGTACCAATTACTTATGGGGAAAAAAATTCTGTTTCTACAAAACAGCCTAATTATTAACGTAAAGCTGTCCTCGGCATTTCCCTGTGGATGGACATTGAATTAGATGACATCTAAAAGAGGAAAGCAGTCCTTCTCACTTTCATCATTTCACCCATCAGAAATGTGTGGATTTTGTTTTTGCAGAAATTCTAGATTTTTAAAAAATCCAACAATCCACACTTCTTTCACACAATGATGCCTTTTCTGCAAATACTGTAGCCATTGTGCCAACCTAGTGAGAATGTACGATACTTTAATGTACTGAAATATCACTTCTTGTTATTTTCTGGTTTTCAGAGGATTTTTCTCGAAGCTAAAAGCGAAGAAGAAATTTTTGCGCATCTGGGATTGGAGTACATTGAACCATGGGAAAGAAATGCCTAGAACAAAAATATGCGAACATCTCTCTGTGGCTTGATCTCTCTTTCTGCTTCATAAAATGTGGTTCAATAATTTTGCTGTCTTTGTCCTGTAGTAGTAGGTGCTGGAGGAAAGCACAGGAGCCACTAAATGTAGATGAAATATCGATTGTTCCTGAAAAGGATTTTTTCCCCTTTGCAAATTCCAGCAGTTCCAAACTTTTGAACATACTGAGTTTCAGAAGTTCATATGCAAATCAGCCATTTTGCTCTCAGAATACATTCTCTACATAATGCATGCTGTGCTGATGTTCAGGTCAGCTTATAAAAGCCTATTTAACCCCAAAGCAGGTGAAATCAAAGATGCACAATAAAAACACAGTAGAAAAATACATTGTAGTGTAATCTTTTTCTTTTACAATGATAACAACTGATAATTATACATTACTCTGAAATTTGCAAAGTACTTTACGTACATTATCTCATTTGAGCCATACAAATTATTCTATAATGTAGGCAGTACAAAAATTATCATGCCCATTTGACAGATGGGGAAACTGAGGTTCAGAGCAATTAATGATTTACCCTTGGTTACACTCCTAGGGACTATCAGAAGTAAGATTTGAACTCACATCTTCTTGACTCTGAGTCCAACACTCTATCCTCTGTTCTATGCCATTCCACTATAAACAAACAGCACATAAGAAACTGGTTTAAATGCATAATGTTTTGTAATCAAGTTACTACTCTGGGGCTAAAGGTTACAACATGGAGTGAATTGTATGAACTCAGACTTGACTGATTCCAGGAGGAACTTGGTAGCCCAATTACATTGAAATACAATTATTAAAACAATTTTAAATAAGTTTGAGGAGCCCCGGTGAAGAACCTCTGCTTTAAACAAAATTTTGCCATCAATGGTTTAAAATAAGGCTAAATTTTGTTGCTATTGTTTGTAAAGGCAACATGGTATATTAGAATGTGTGCAGGGATTTAGAGTCAGAAGACCCTGCTACAAATTCCAGCTTTGCCAATTACAACCTATGTCACCTTGGATAAGTCACTTAACTTTTCCAGGTCCAAGTTTCCACATCTGTAAAATGATGGGGTTATCCTGAGGTACTCTAAGCTCTTTCCATCTCTAAATCTTTTTTTTTATCTTCTAAGTACTAGAGACTCTCCATTAAATAACTAGGTAGTATTACTAAATTCTACTACTAAATAAACAGTAATTAATCTCAGCTTTTTGCTAGTCACACCAAAGATGGAGGAAGTAGATGGGGAAAGCTAGGCATTCTTTCAAGAGACAATTATTTGATGTCATCACCAATATTGTGGACTAGACATTTTTTGCAGTCCTCACTGATCCTCAAAAAGTACATCAGGAAGGAATTATATACCAAATGTAGAACAATTATAGCCAAATTCACAGGCCAAGATGGAGACATACCCCCCATCAGAGTGAAAACTTTATGAATTAACTTAGGAGGCAGGTAATCCTTAAAGTGTAATCCTTAATAAAATGACTCTCCCCCCACCCCCATACTTCTGCTAGACACACAAACTGACCCACAGGCTTGTGCCTGGAACTCACGTAGAAATTCACCTCTTGATGCAGAAACTACTGGTACACTTTATGCCATTTTTGCTCTCCACCCCCAGCTGCCTCCTCTCTGGTAAAAACCATTAAATTAGGGGGCTCAAAGATGCAGAGATTCTCTTTGTAACACCCTTCTCACCCTTTCCTAACTGCAACAAAAAATGTAGATACTGATTCAGCCCAATCAGGAAAGGAAAAGATGAGAACCTGGAAAGGAAATGGGAGAAGAGTAGGAGGTTGGGTGAACGTTGCACTGGGTTTGAAGGAAAAAGGACTGAAACCCAGCTAGAGATAGTTGCACCTCTCACCCCAGTTACTTAGGAAAGAGAGCAAGGACTACAATATATTAATTCTTCAATGTGGGAGGATGAGGAAGCTTTGCAGTCAATCCCAGGGATGTACCCACCATCAAAGAAGAAGAAATAAGAAAATAAAAGGAGAACATAAGGAAAAATGCCAAAAGAAGAAGGATTTTTAAGAGAAATAAAATTTAATAAAAACTCTCACACTCAAGCAAATAAATTAACAGGCAATATTGTAAAGACTAGGACAATGGATAAGTACTACACCCTCAAAGAGCATATAAAGTCTTTATATATAAATATATATATATATATATATACACATATATATATATATAAGTATATAAAAGAGGAAGGTGAATTGATACCTGATGTAACACAGAATGCTGTGGAATCTCAAGAGAGCGTGGAATAACATCAATAATAACATTAATAATTGAAAATAGAATTGAAATATACTTGGTAAAAAATTGGAATGGAACAACAATATCAGCAAAAAATAAGTAACAGAATAGGAGAAAACTGAATCTGTGGTGCCAAGTTTCTTCAACAACAACAAAAAACATCAGAAGAAAGAATAATAGATTCACAATACAGAGCAACTCAACCGGAGGAAAAGACGGCAGAAAAGAAGCAAAAAACCAGTAACAGGAAAAGATGACATGAGAGCTATACAAGCCAAACTTTTGATCCTGAAAATAGGATGTGCAGACAATTTAAATGTTACAGGAATTCTGGAAGAATGTGATGAATTTCAAAACCTAAGCATCATAATGCAATAAATAAATAAAACAAACTGCCCACAACTTTTGAAAACAGAAAACGAAGCAGCAACCAAAAAGAGCCCCACATTGCTTCTAGAAAAAAAACACATCCTGTTTATGGTAGTTAAATTTAACAATTCCAATGACAAAAAAACCCCTAAGTTTTGCAAGGAGACAGAAAGAAGAAAGACTTTCGAATATAAAGAAAAGCAAATTCTAATAACTCAAGGCTATTTGGGGATCACTACAAACTGCAAAAGGAAATGTATATTTCTGAAACAATATATTCTGAAAAGCAAAGGAGCTGAAGATGCTCCCCAAAATGATGTAAACCTGCAAACCTGAGCTGAAAAAATTTTAATGAAAAAAAATGGAAGTGCAACAAAAATGGACAGTCATTTAGTTTGAGAAACAAAGAAGGAGGAATGGACTCAGCCCTGTCTGCAGTGAGCCCAAGACAGGCTTACCTTGGAGATATTGTAGGTTGGGTTCCAGACCATTGCAATAAAGAAATATCACAGTAAAGTGAGTCACACAAATTAAGTTTGCAATGGTGCTATGTTTTTTTAAAATAATTTAAAAATACTTTATTGCTAAAAAAAAAAATTCTAACCATCATGTGAGCCTTCAGTGAGTCACAATCTTTTTATTGGTGGAGGTCTTGCCTCCATGCTGATGGCTGCTGACTAGTCAGGGTGGTGATTGCTGAAGATTGGAGAGGCTGCGGCAATTTCTTAAAACAAGACAAAAATAAAGTTTGCTGTATTGACTGACTCTTCCTTTCACTTGAACACTTAGAAACCATTGCCAGGTTATTAATTGGCCTGATTTCAATATGGTTGTATCTTAAGTATAGGGAAGCCAGAGGAGAAGGAGAGAGACTGGGAATGGCCAGTAAGTGGAGCAGTCAGAACACATGCAATGTTTATTGATTAAGTTTGCTGTCATATGGGCGCTGTTCATGGAGCTCCCAAATAATTACAATAGTAACATCAAAGATCACTGACCGTAGATCACTCCTGGCAGATATAATAATAAAGAAAAAATTTGAAATATTGTGTGAATTACCAAAATGTGACACAGAGACATGATGTGAGCACATGCTGGTTGGGAAATGGTGCCAGTAGAGTTGCTACAAACCTTCAATTTGTTAAAAACACAATCTTTGCAAAGTGCTGTAAAGCAAAGTACAGTAAAATAAGGTATGCCTGTTGAGCCCAGGTGATTCAGTGAAAAGAAAAGAAGGATGAATGGAGACTCTTCTCTCATCTTGCCAACAACGGGCATGGGAGAAATGAGGCAGAAGATCTGGGTCAGGGCTGTGTACCTAGATGAAAACAAGGGGCTCCATCTCCACCTAGTGCTGAAGGGACAGGTAGTTAAGCCAGTTCTGCATCATTTATAGGGTCTCTGTGCCATGCCATAGCTGGTCTGTTCTTTGTGGGGACCACAGTGTGGGGGATGAGAGAACAGAGACCATACAATGAGAAGTTTGCAGAAGCTTACCTATGGTAGTCTAAGGTAGTGTCTCCTTGCTTGGAAAGCATGACCCAATGACTGCCCTAACTATGGGTCAGGCAGTGAGGAGTTCATGAGTTATATGGATTTTCCCAGGTATCTTGTGCGCCCCATAGTCAGATCCTATTCATGCTTGGAAGTCAGGACCCACAGAATATCTAGGAGAGGACTTGTCTGACAGATTCATCCTCATAGCCATGTATCTATCTGATCAGTGCTTAGTAGAGTGCTGGCTCATAGCAGATACTTAATAAATTTTTATTTATTGACTGACTGATCCTCCATGGATGAGCTTAATCATTGATCCCTGGGAAAAATTGCCCAGTGGGAATATCTTTGAGACAGAATATAATAGGTTTGTGCCACAGCTCAGAGAAAGTACAAAGGTAAGAATCAGACCCATCCTTTACATCTTCTAAAAGAAAGGAAAGCCTCTGAAAACTTTCTGTAATTTTTTTTTTGTTTGAATTGGAGACTTCCTCATTCTTATGAGTAGAGAAACATTTATGAGAAAGTCTGGTTTTCTGTAAGTCTTTGTTATGTCCACAGTGAAGTTACAGAGCTTAGCAAAGAGTCTTGCAGATAGCAGATACTCAACAAATATTTGTCCAATGAATGAATAAAGATAAGAGTTTCCCTTAGGAGAGCATTAGCTCAGAAATCACATTAATTGGCAAAGCTTCCAGAAGTTCATCCTCATGGCTTTGGTATGCCACTAGTTAGAATATCTTAAATTGAACTGATCCTTGGATTAATGAAATATGTTTCCTTGCTTAATTCTTTGACTAGTCTAAGGTATTGCTTCAGTAGTAATACTCACACTCTTCCTTTCCTAGTGCCCCACCCCTACATGTATACACAAAGGTCAATGGCTAAAGAGGATGTTGAGAGACAAAAGAAGTTGGGGGAATAATAATGGAGTCTAAAGCTGGAAAAAATAGCAGCTCCCTGCAAATCTGAGCCCTCAACTGTAAGACCCAAACCCTTAGGATTGGGGCTTTTTCAGTCTTTACTCCACTACTCAATGACATTTTTATCCCAGCTACACTCCCCTTCAGTAGTGGCCAATGGGGGAGTAATGGCTCAGGAATGGCTACGCCCTTTATTTTACCCCAAAAAGAAGTCCATACAATTGCTCCCTCTATACAGAAACAATCAATACAAGTGCATCCAATCAAACCAGAGAAGACTGAATTGGTAAATGTCACCAGTTGATTTAGAAATAAACTTAAAACTGTGTGTAAAATGGAATTATGATCAACTGCCCTAAATTCCAGCATCGTGGGCTATAACAGAAGTATAGACACCCACCTGTAAAGGGCGTCTCACTCCTCTGTAAAGATGTGTTAATTATGTTTGCTTATTAAAGTGACCAGAAATAAGACTTAAGAAATAACACTGTTGTATTTTAGACAGTATCAGCATGGTATATAACACAAATTTAAACCCCATATGCGTATCTGTGTGTACATATGTATAGCTTTGTTTATATAGAATCAACATATTGATATAATAAAATAAGAACCACAAGTAACAAAAACCACAATGCCCCATGTAAGGAAAACTTGCTTGCTTCTCAGATTAAGAAAGATAAAAAATATTTATTTTTATCACAATAAAATAAATTATGACATAATTATTTATAATTGTAAGAAATAAGATTATTATTAAAATATTGATTATACTTACCAATTACATAGCTACTAAGCTCTAGCATACATGAGTCAATGCTTTTTGCTTACCAAGCACATTAATAGCTATTCCTCATAACCACCCTGTGAGCTAGGTTAGTATCGCTACTCCAAAAGGAAACAGAGGCACAGATTAATTAATAAATTGATTCAAAGTCATACAATGAATCATTAATGGACCTGGGGTATAAGCCCAAAGATCCTGATTTCTCACACCGTGGAGCTAAGGCTACTTTATGGATGGAGACCTTCAGGTCATTTGCAGTCTTTCTACTTACCCTGATAATGGAAAATGAACTTTTTTGGGCGGTTGAGTCACAAATTTCCAGCCTGACATGATTTGTAGTTACAGCCATCCTCTGGGACTTACTTTCGAATTTCAGACTCAGGGGACTATTTTCCCATATTTATCTAATTAGAGATATCTTAAAACTCCTTCCCTTTTTTCTCCTCCTAACTATTTGTTGTTAAATTTTGCTATTTCTTTTTTATTACCCACCCTGCCTTAGTCTGGGAATTATAAACAAATCAATATGCTTCTGGAATGAGCTTATCAGTTGACTTCCCTATGACTCTGCTCACCATTCCTCTGCTATTTATTCCCAGAACAAAACACTGTTCCCTGGTAACCGTCCCCCTTTATATGTTATTTCTGCCTATTGGTCTGATCAGCCACAGTCGAACACATCATACCTCAACTCCAACGTGGTGATATCATTTTGGTCCTCTTCAATAACAAAGGCCGATAACCAACCAATCTACTTCCTCCTATTACAGAGAAAACTCTTGGAGAATAGGGACTCTCTCACTTTTGTATTTATATCCTCAAGCTTGTCATCGTGACCATCATCATACATTCAGCAAGTATTTCATAAAAGGTTTTCATTTTCATTCATTCAACAGACACTTTCTGAAGCATTCTGATTGCCATTGAAGGCCAATATGTTGTACAGACATAGTGCAAAGAGTATTAAATGTGGGGGTCAAAACAGCAGTTACAGTCTTCCAAACTGTGTGAGTGTTGACAAGTCACTCCAACCTTTTGTGCCTGTTTTCTCCTGCAGAAAATGAGGATAAGATAAAGAGATGGGAGAAAATACTTCTTTCCCTTCTTGGCAGATGTCATGCTCAGTCATGTGTTGGTTAGTTTTGCTATACTTTGGTTTTTCTTTTTTATTCTTTGTTGTAAGAGATGGCTTTTTGGGAAGGGAAGGGGAGGGATACATTGATGATGTAAAAAGAAAATATGTTAATATTTTAAGGTGGGGATAATATATGGCATATGGTTTCCAAATTTGTAAATCACCTTATGAGTGTTTATTACTACATTGAATAAGAGATGCTTCTAGGATTCGAGCTTTCCTAGTCACTTGCACCCATTACTATTAGAAATATATTAACAGCTCTGGTGCCTCTCTTTGCTCTTCTGCTGAATCCTACATTCCATTGCAAGGACTGCCTGCATTAAGCCGCGTTAAGACCATTGAATTCACTTTCTGGGAAAGTCCCAGTTATGTAGGAAGAAATTTGTAACTCCTCCATCCACTGCCTTTCCTCCAGCTGCCTCCTTCACTGCCTTCATTTCTATGCTAGACCATTTAGCCAACTGGTCTCCATCACTGCAGGCAGATAAATCTACTCATGGGCTCTGCTGGTCTCGCTCCTATTTCGGGCACTTGGCAAATGCTCCCACTTACAGTGTTCTACCTTTTCTCTTTCTATCCAAAGACAATGTTCTCCTAATTTATTTTTTTTAATAATTAATTTATACAATCACTTCCATAAGCTTTTTAGTTTTAAATTTTTCTTCCCCCCCGCCACCCGAAGACACAGCGTGATCTAATAATGACCATAATGTTCTTCTAATTCAGACTCTTCCTGCCTTTTCTGCTGAGTAGCTCCTCTGGCTCACGTCACTTCAAGCACTGAACTGATGAAGAAGAGCTGATGGTTAGCCTCTAACTCCCACCCTCACCCCACAGCTCTTTGGGAAAGTTTATTTGTTTATTTTAATGGCATCTCTGAAAGCAGATTATGATCTGTGACAACAATTGCCTTGGGGAACAAATATGAACTGGGATACCTATGAACTGAACCTGTGATTTCTTTGATAAAAGGAACTTCCAGATGAGGACACTTCTTCTCTCATGCAGGTCAGCACCTTCTCTGCAACTTATAGACTTAGTATCCTAGAGCACTGAGAGGTTAAGTGACTTGTCTAAGGTCACATAGCTCATATGTGAGAGGTGAGACCTGAATCTAGGTCTTTCTGTTTCTAAGACCAGCACTCTACCCATTATACCACACTGACTATATACACATACAATTCATAGAGGCCACAAAGTTAACATTTTTGAGTATTTACAAAATGTTCAAAGTGACTAGTAATATAGCAAAGTACTATTTAAACCACTTTACAGGGCTTCCCACAAGATATCCCCTGGCTAGGGAAATTCAATTTTAAAAAGATGAATCTGGGACAGCTAGGTGGCTCAGTGGATAGAGCTCCAGCCTTGGAGTCAGGAGGACCTGAGTGAATCCAGCCTCAGACACTTGACACTTACCAGCTGTGTGACCCTGGGCAAGTCACTTAATCCCAATTGCCTCACCAAAAAGCAAAAAAAAAAAAAGAGATGAGTCCTACACTCTGCTTTGAAGGTCATCAAAGGAGGGGTGAGGGAGATCTATAAATGAACAAGGGCTCTTTGCTAAAAGAACCACAAAGCTCTTAATCCTGGATTGGACATCTGTAGAAGCATCCTTCCATTCATTCATCCGATGAACATTTATTCAACAGGATACTGTACTAGGAGCTAGGCAAAAACACCAACCAAACTCTACCTTCAAAGAGTTTCCCCACAACTACAAAGTTGTGGGGAACAAAATGTGCACAGATAAGTTAAGACAAAATACACACAAAATAAGTGCAGGATAATCTGTGGGGAAAGGGCTCTAGCAGCTGGGACAATCAGGGAAGCCTAAATTACAATGTGTTTGAGTTGAGTCTTAAAGGAACCTAAGGATTCCAAGAGGCATAGAGGAGGAGGGGGAATATTCCAAGCATGAGCGACAGTCTGTGCAGATACAGAAGGCAGAGGTAGCTATTAAGAGAGGCAGTTGGCCTATAAGGGAAAAGGGACAATTACAATTCACTTGAAGTTCAATGAAGCATCACATTTAGAAATAAACTTGTAGAACTCTAGGCTGTGCGTAGTGGATGTTGCACATACACCCTCAGGTTCATGTTGTTAGGTAGCCCTATTGCTGTTTTCTACAGTTTTTGATGTTAAGGCTTTTGCCTTTATGAGACAGGGGAAAGCTAGGCGGAAGCTATACTGAGTAGTATCTTGTGGGCTGCCCTGAGGTCAATGTAACTGTTTCCTCTCTACCTACTATCTAGCCTTGGCTATCCAGAAGGTAGTGATGACTTTGCCTCATCCATTGTTTCTCCGTTCACATAGCTCCTCATGAGCTTTGTCATTTCTTTAAACACAGCCTGATCTGCTGGCTTCTTTTTGAATAAGAGATCTGACCCATGATTAAAGGAAGGCAAGGTGGGGAAGGCCAGATATGGGGAAATAAAACATTGTTCACCCAGAAAAACCAATGGGAGTGATAGAGATGGAATTGAAGTGTTTAAAGTCCTAGAGCCATGATTCTTCTAAGCAATGGACTTGGTTGAGAAGCACCTCATTACCAAATGCTTCATTATTCAGGCAGAACCTAAGTACTAATAGAATAAATCAACTCAAATGTCAATGAAATATTTTTTCAGATTAATGAAGAAAATTCTAATTGACTTCCAGTATAAACCCAAGTATTTCTTTCTCTGGTCTAGTTTTTTTGGAGTAAGTTTGAAATCAGTAGCTGAGGATATTTCATTTCCTGTCCCGTTTGGGTAAAAGCCACCTCGGCAAACTCGGCTTTTTTCCCATTTCAGTTCTAGGAAAGTAAGCATCATATGATAGCTCTTCTGTGCCCGTTATGGTCTTCACATACACATGAGTCTCTTCCATCTCTATTGTTTCCTTCACATCCACATCAGGGCTGCTGAGATTCTGGAAAAAAGACAAATAAAAGGACTAATGAAGCTTGAGCAGCCTCAGAATTTCTGTCATTAAAGCCATTTATAGCTTTGTGTTCTCTCATATCCTTTGTCATCTCAATATTAAATAATAATCAGGTTCCCCCAAACAACTAATAATTGGTTATTTTATATTGACCACCTACCTCGGATTAGAATTTCCCTAACATCCCTAAGGTCAGGAGGTCCCCAGGAATTCCTAGGGGAGTTTCGAGGGTTATATTAGTCACAACGCTACTGTAGCTCTTTAGCATGCCAATTCAAGGCAAATTGCCTGCTTCTCCTTCTTAGTTCCCAGGGTGTCATACTGGATTAGGCAACAGCCCTAACTCTGGTAGCATAGAGATGCCTATGCTTCTAAAGGTAGACATTAATGCTTTTCACAGCACAGAAAAGAGCAATTAGTAAATGCACAAAGAAGAATTCTGTTTATAACCTTATTTATTATGAAGATTAATTTGCTTCAAGTAAAACCCTGTACCTTGGTTCTAAATTTTAGCGCAAGAGTTTAATTTAAACAAATGATTGTCATTGACAACAGACCAGTCTCTAAATCAGGGCTTCTAAAACTTTTTCCACCCCTCATATGTTGGCAGCATTCCTTGGCTTTGTGTGGCTTGATGGCATGTACAGTGCAAAGTGTGCATGCTGTGTGTTCAGAACCAAGGCTGCAATGAAGTTGCATAGTGTAACACTGGCAAATGCTGCCACAAACACCTCGGACTCATTATGTGTTTGATTTTGAATTAATTTTTGGTCTTTGCACTTTCAGGAACCTTTTACCATTGGCAAATGGGGTCACAATCCACAATGTAAGAAACACTGCTAACATAAGCCCCTAATAATGATAATTCATTTGCTAAGGTTAAGAGGTCTGTTACGGTGTTACTGTTCACAATAAAATCTATCCCTGAACCTACCCTTTTAACAAACCTTCAGTGGTTCTCAAAGTGTTGATCTCTCTGCAAAGACTTCACCAATTCATGTGTCATAGTCCTCAGGCGAGATATCACCTCAACAACCTGAACCTTATTCCTGACAAGAGTACCACCATCTCTCTGGTCATCTGAATTCCCAACTCCTTCCATTCCTCACTCTCACTCAACATATCCATTTACTTGACAAATCTCACCAATTCCACCTTCATGTCATCTTTCATCTATGTCCCCTTTTCTCTATTCACACAGTCACCAACCTAGGTCAGGTCTCTATCAGCTCTCACCTGCCTCCTAAGTTGTACCCCTGCTTCAAATCTCCCCACTTTAATCTGTCCTACACATAGCAGCCAAAGTGATTTTCCTAAAACCCAAGTCTGACCTTATCAGTCCCCTACTCAATGAACTCTATTGGCCCTAGGGTCAAATATTGTTTCCTTTTTATCTCATCTTTTCCATTTCCATTTTGGTGTGATTTTTATAATGCCTATAATTATTAGTATAGTAGTATGTATACATAATTTATGAATAAGTAAATATACATATGTTAAGGGTTCATGCTTGAAAATTTTTACTGATAAGAGTACATGTTCAAAAATGCTTGGACACCATTGCTGAGTATTGAAGTATTTCAGTCTCAATGGAAAGACCTTCAGATATGGTGTCAAAGAAGGTGTATTAGAGGACAGATACTGGAAAAGATTAAACGAGCATCCATTGAGAATCACGGAATCTCAACAATGGAAGAGATCTCCCTCATAAGTCATCTAGTCAACCTATACTTGGATATGAATTCCTGATAAGGTCCATGATTATGATCATCCAACCTCTGAAGACCTCCGTTTATGGGGAACTCATTACCTCATAAGGAAGCCCAATTGTTTTTGGGATGGCCCTAATTATTGGGAAGTTTTTCCTCACATTGAGCCAAAATCTTCACCAGAGTAACCTTCACCCATTACATCTAGCTCTACCCTTTGCAGTTAAGCAAAATAAGCTTAATTCCACTTCTCCATTACAGCTCTCCAAAAACTTGAAGACATCTTTCATGTCCCTAGAGAAAGTCTCTTCTCCAGGCTGACCTCTAGTAATGAAAATTACTACCTGATTCTAATCTCTCTGTCTGTCTGTCTGTCTCTCTGTGTCTCTTTCTGTGTCTCTCTGTCTGTCTGTCTCTGTCTCTCTCTTCCTCTCTCTTTCCCTTTCTTCTCTAGTTTTCATTTTATGTCCCTCTCATTTTAACCCCATCGACTTTTGTACTCTCCTTCTGATGACAGGATTTACAATCCACAGATTATTTATTGTGAGATATTAAAAAGTGCAACTGAGAATCCTTACCTCCAATGATACCTCAGAACTGCCATAGATGTCTGGAAAATCATTTGGTCTTTGGTTTTCCTAAATTGGTAACAAAAATGTAGAATGAAAAGATATAAGCTTGGATCATGATTTAAGTACATGAGAAATGAACACAGGCACATTCAAAAATAGGAGATGGAATGGATTTAGAGTCCATGTGACACTTTAGATGATAATAACCAGACAACTTTTCTGAATAACTCTGTCTAAGGGACTTTGAATGAGGGATCTGGACCCTGAAATAGCCTTGCATTTATGACAAAGGGATACTCTACCCTCTTTATTCTGGAAGAAAAAAAAAGCATAGATGACTATATTCCTGGACATAACTGATTTATAAACACCTTCATGCCTCGGAGCCACCTGTCTTTGGCCAGATTTATCATTCACTCTCTTTCCCTGCACGTTGTACTTTGTTTCAAAGTTCCCCTATACTGGCCCAAAGGATGGAAGCTTAGAGCTTTGCTAGACATAGAAGACACCGAGGTCATCCACTGCATCCTGGCCATCACCAGTCTTCTTGACTTCTGTCCTGCCACTGGACATTTATGACTCAGGACAGAGAGTGAGGCTGACAACTTTGCACAACTCTGCTTCACTTAAATCCAATTCACAAGCAAGTCGGGCCATCACGTGTGATGTCACTGGTCCTCTTTGAAAATAAACAACAATAACTACAACAACCTCATACTTGGTCTCCCTGCCTCAAATCTCTCCCCATTTTAATCTGTCCTACATATAGCAGCCAAAGCGATTTTCCTAAAGCCCAAGTCTGATGGAATGGGAACTTGGTTTCACCATTATGTTATTATTCGATAGACATTAAGGATTACAACCAGAAAATTTCTCTACAATTTGAGAGTATTGTTACTTTAAATAAATGTCCTCTGAAGAGTAGATATTCTCATTAGCCTCACAATGAAGCTCAGGCTTAAGGTGAGAATGTTTTTGTTCGGCATCTACTGTGGGAACAGAAATGGAATCTAAGAATTCTAATCCCACAAACCAGGAAAGTCATTTACAATGAAAGCTCCTGTTTTGATTTTTTCTTTGCATCCTCAAAATGTCACACAATGCCTGGCTTAAGCCTTAGGTGGTAAGTACTTAATAAATGCCCAATGAATGAATGTCATTTAGAGTCCTTCAAACCAAATGAAAGGGATAATCACCTGGGTATGCCCATCCTTTCTTCTTTTCTGAGCACAGACCACAATTAAAGCTACAAGCAGGACCATGGCCACCAAGGTTGGGATGCCTGCTGCCAGCCCCAGAATTATGATACAATCCTAATGTAGAGAGATAGAAAGCATACGATCAGATGTATCAATTCTTCCGTGGTTTCATACCATTCACTCCCACAAACGGTCAGTAAAGATGCTGTGTGCACCAAGAGCTATGTCCAAGCCACAGTCTTTATTCACACTCAAGGTCCGACCAGATTGTAAGCTGCTTAAGAGCAAGGATGGTATTTTTCTCTATGTTTCTGTTTTGTTTTGTAAATAGCTAAGAAAACATGCCTAGCACATAGTAGGTGCTTAATAAGTGCTTATTGACTTCTCTAAATATGACTACCTACTAAAAATTATGCAGCAGTGAATAATAATAATAATAATAATAACATTTATATGGCACTTTAAGGTTTATAAAGCATAATACATACATTATATCATTTGATCATTACAATAATCCAGTGAGATAAATGCTACTGATATTATCATCCCTGTTTTACAGATGAGGGAGCCCCTCTCAGATCCCTAGTGGACCCCTAATTCTGAGGCTCAGAGCAGCTGGAATCATACCACTAGCAAGTGTCTGAAGTGGGCAAGCATTCCTGACTCTAGCTGCAGCATTCTTTCCCCTACACTGTGCTAATGTACAACCTACAAAATCAGACACAAGGTCCCCCCCGAAGAGGAGGAGTAGAATCTACAGCACTCCGAGTCACCAAGCTCTAACAGGAGCTGACGTTAAAAGAGCACTTCAAGGTTTACATGCACAATCGCCTTAGAGCTTCACAACAACCCTGATGCATCTACTGCAGGGATCATTATCTGCATTATACAGATGAGGAAACTGAGGCTCAGAGAGGCCCGTGCCTACATAGGGAATACATGTCAGAGGTAGGATTCCAACTCAGGTCTTCCTGACTCTGTGTCCAGTGCCCTGCCCATTATGTCATGCTGCCTTCCAGAAACTAGATCTGGCTCTCATGCTTCTCTGATGAGACAGACAGAGATTTGGGTGACTGGTTCACAGCATCTGCCTCACCCCTGTCTTTCCTCTGTACCCAAACACATTTGACTCAGCAGAGGCAATTCATATCAGTAAAATCTAATGGCTGTTCTTAAGGTCCCAGGGTACTTTTGTTTTGTTTTTTTTTTGTCATTTCAGTCATCTCCGATTCTTTTTGTGACTCCGTGTGTGTGTGTGTATTTGGCAAAGAACGGTTTGCGATTTCCTTCTCCACTCGTTTGACAGATGAGGAAACTGAGGCAAACAGGGTGAAGTGACTTGCCCAGGACCATACAGCTAGTAAATGTGTGGGTCCAGATTTGAATTCAGGACTTCCTGACTCCAGGCTCTGTGCTCTATTCACTGCACCACCTAGCTGCCCCAGGATCTCTATATTTAGACTTCTAAAATGACCCAGGGGAAGTTTGCCTTCCTAGCCTTGGAAACTGGGACTGCTATAAATGCAGAGAAAGTTATCATCCACAGGAATGCAATTATCTGAGTGATATAAATGGCAAAACCCCCACAAAAACCCCCATAAAGCAAAGTAATCTTGCCTCCAAAGAAGTGATGAAATTCACCTCCCTCTTTTCTTTGGAGAGTACTTGTGTGGAAGCTTGCATACACTGCCAGATGAGATCAATACATTGGTTGGTTTTGAATACCTATTTTCCCTGAAAGAGTGTTCCCTGTGGTTGACAAGATGGGATGGAGGTGGGGGAGGGTCAGAGGAGCATAGCTGAGAACAAACGTGATGGAAAAACAAAATGTCTCATAGATCTAGAGATGGAAGAGATGCCAGATGCCATCTAGTCCAATTGCCTCATTTCACAGATAAGGAAACTGAGGCAAAAGGAGGTTTAGTGGCTTACCCAAGATCACATAGGCAGAAAGTGTCAGAGGCACGATTCCAACTCAAGTCTTTTAACTCAAGAGCCAATGGTCTTTTCACTGTACCATACGACCCCCCCATTTTTTAAATGTATCATCTTATATTTAAAAAAAGAAAAAGAAACACAAGCGGTTGATTAGATTGGGGGAATTCATAAAAGTTTTCTGCCTTTTTGGGCTATATTAGGGTTTTTACTCTAGCAACCAAACTTTGGTTCTTTTTGCTTCCAGTAAGAAGAAAGGAGAGACAGACAGGGGTTTGGAATAGAACAGGGCAGAGACGGGGCAGAATTGTAAACTGCTCAGCACTTACAGAAAATGAGCTTTCCTGGACAACTATTTCGCAAGTCAGAAAAGTTTTCAAAGCCTCTGAGCAATCATCACCCTACCCAATTAGCCCATATCTAAGATAATGTTCTGAGGGTCTAGTGAGTGAACCCAGTGCAATTTCTTCTCTCTCTCTCTCTCTCTCTCTCTCTCTCTCTCTCTCTCTCTCTCTCTCTCTCTCTCTCTCTCTCTCTCTTTTCTTCCACTCTCTTCATCTCCCTCTCCTTTTTCCACTTCCTCTCCTCCTTTTCCCTCTCCCTCTCCTTTTCTCTCTCCCTCTTTTCCATCTTCCTTTCCTTTTCCTTCTCCTTCTCCCTGTCCTTCTCCCTCTCCCTTTCCTTCCACCTCTCCCTCTCTTCACACGGACCCAACTGGCTTGAGGACTATAGCTCTTTAAAAATGGGTAGCAGCCTTGTAACATACCACATGTGAGGGGGTGGGTTGTTTGTGTGGCCAAGTACGGGAAGTTTATGCCTACCCATCTCGTCAGACTCTTTTATGTGTCTTTTCTTAAGTACACCACAAGGAATCCACCCAATATGCTGGCGTCCATCCTTGTTTTCTTTTTATATCATGGGGATACCAGAAGAGCCTACAGGCTGTTCATTGGCCATTCTTTGCTCTCACCACATGATCAGTCCATCTTCTTTTTTAATTAGCTATTTCTCTGATGATAGTTATCAAGTGGGAAAATAAGATAGTCTCACCACGCGGTGAGCTGATGTTTACTGTCTCTGTGACCTCGAATAAGTCACCTACGTGAGCTTTAGATTCCTCATCTGTAACATGAGGTGGCTAGAACAGATAGCCTCTGGGGTCCCTTCTAGCCTTACCCTGGGCATCCTGGGGTCCCACAAACCCTTGCTACAAACTCATGATCCTTGCTGAATCTCAGATGGGGTTTTCCCTGAGCTCTGTTAGGCAAGGTTCCTCTGGCAGTCTGGATGTTGCCCTGGATTCCAGATGCCCCAGAAAAAGTGGAGAATATTCCCTACTCCTACATCACAGGAAGACTGCTCACTACCCTGAATCTCCACATAACCAGCTCACTACCATTTGGTCACTCTCTGTCACCTCTAATGCCCAGCTGCTCAGCCTGGTACCCTTGTATGTCACTCTGGTGTGGTACCCAAAAGCAGTCTCTTGGTGTTAAGTGCCCATTCAAGGCGACAATAACCTTTCCTTTACTACTGCTAAGTCATTCTCCCTTCTCCACAAGGGAAAACACTTGTGGGTTGCTACAACCAAGGTCACTCATGCTTTTTTTACATACACTCCCTGACAGACCGAACAGTTTGTCTCTAGATTTCTGGGCCATCGGTTAGTATCTGTCCTTGGCTATTTCCAGCTTCTTTTTCAGAGCTCCAACTACTGACAAGCCAAGCTCCTTGATCATTTTCACAATATCCCCTGAGAGCTACAGACACTCAACAAGCACTGATTTGATGCCTTCTCTTTGTCAGGCACTGACAATCCACAGATGCATCATCATCCCATTTTAAAGATTCTCTCGCTCATCAGAGAAAACAGCCGCCTTGGAATGATCCTAGGTTGTGAAATTTTAAACTCAGATTCATCAAGGATCTTTGATTTCATTTGTCTAGGAACTCCCTCCACCAGCTGCTGTAACTTAATAAAGTCTTTGGAATCTATCCATGTTTATCCAACAGTTCTTATTGTTCGTCTTTTGTACTTGAAGAGGACCGATGACATCATGATGTTGAGGTCAAGGTACAGTGAGTATGACTATGGCTGAGGATTTACACAACTATTAAGTGTCAGGGGCTGGATTTGAACCCAATTTCTCCTGAGCCCAAGTCCATTGACTTGACTATTCACTATGCCACTGAGGCCCCTTAGAGGCAATAAATGCTTAAGAATAATCAGTCCACAAACATTTATTAAGCTCTTTGTATGTGTCAGGGGCTGTGCTAAGCAGTGGGAATACAAATATGAGCAGAAAGAAAGGTAGCCCCTTTCCTCCAGGAAAGAAACTTCCATTCTACTAGGGAAATATAACATGTACAAGGAAGCTGAAGAAGAGGAGGTGGTGGGATGAAGATACCCAATCATAAGCACGGGAGAAATAATGGAGAGTGCGACGTGGAGAAGAATGAAGACATCGCTGGCCAGGTGCCTTCCTCAAGTGAAGGTCCTGGGAGGAGTCATCCGATCAGAGTGAGAAGCTGCAGAAGCTGAGAGGAGTCCTTCCAGTGTGAGAGTTCCAGGGCAGTTTGAGTTTCCAGGATGAAGAGTCTTCTGCAGCATAAGAGGGTTCTTGGGAACAAATCTTAAGAATAATTTCTCCACTTGACATTGAAGAGAAATTGAGAAAGACTGTGAAAACACATTGTAGACTTTAAAGGTGATACAAATGTAAGCTATTATCATTATTTCATTCTCACCTCTGTTTGAAGCATTTTATCAGCTTATCTCTGGAATCCTCACAGCTCCAGGCAACATTGAACACCTCCCATTTATTTTACAGAAGGTAAGTCGATCAAAGGCTGCTAAGTGGCACAGTGGATAGAGTTCTGGGCTCAGAGTCAGAAAGACTTGAGTTCAAATCCAGACTCAGAAATTTCCTAGCTGTATGACCTTGGGCAAATCACTGCCTCTGTTTGCCTATGGACCGGTGGTCCACTGGAGAAGAAAATGGCAGACCAGTATCTTTGCCAAGAAAACCCCAAGGACAGATGTCCACAGGGTCACAAAGAATTAAACACAACTGAACAACAACAAAGTCAATCAATCGTTAATAAACATTTATCAAGCACTTACTATGTGCCAGGCACTGTGCTAAGCACTGGGAATGCATGCAAGAAAAAGAGACTGTCCCTGCCCATGAGGAGCTTAAAATGTGAGGAGAAGACAATACACAAAAGGAAGCTGAAGAGGGAGGGAGGCTGTCAGAGCTGGGCCAAGGATGTATCAAGCTGATAGCAAGTCAAAGCCAGCTGAAGTAAGCTGATAGTAAGTAAACTGAGGCAGAAGAGTTTAGAGAACTCATCCCTAGCCACATAAAGTTGGGCTTAGAGTTTCTGAGTCAAGATGCAGTATGCGATGGCGTAATGAGTGCTGAATCTGTATTAGAGGACCTGGGTTCAAAGGCATTTGCTAAGAGTAGCTTCAAAACATTCCACTTATAAATGGGGTGGGGGGCATTCTTCCACAAATAAGCACAGTATTTTTGGGAATGATGATCTCAAAAAGCAGATAATAGTAGGGAGGTACTTCTATTATAATCTGCTGAAATTTGTTGTGTGTTCCCTTACCCACACACATAAACCAGGACCTAAAAGTCCTTTTTCTCTTTGAAGAGTCCTCATCCAATTTCACATGGACTAGCATTTCCATTGATTAGATTGATCAGTTGGCTTTTTAGGGTTCACTCCTCTACAAAACCCAACTCTCAATTTCCAGAGCTAGCTCTCTTCCAGCAATCATAGCCAGCTCTTTTCTCTGCTGCCAAGGACCCAGTTTCTCAAAGCTGCTCTCTGCTTTGAGTGACTTCCTTTCTACATCCAAATCTCTCTGTAATGTGTGTTTCTCTGCTTCCTCAATAGTACCTCCAACCTTCACTGCTGCAGTTCCCTGTTATATTATGAACTATGCTATGGTAGGATGTATAGTATAACAGGAAGAGCAGCCACTGTTCTCAGTCCTTATGAGCATGCACAGAGCCCAGCTGATGCAGTTCTCCACGTGAACGAGGCCAGACAGCCTGCTTCCAGTAGAGTGGAGATAACATGTAAGGGAAATGCCTTGGAGAGACATTTTGTAATTGATTTTGGTTTGCTAATTACATTTTTTTGATGGGCTGAGGAGCATTCAAAAAGCACTATTTGACCTAAGGTACTTTATTTTGTCTTTGTATTCCCAGCAACTTATAGAGTGCCATATTCATATCAGATGCGTAATAAATATTTGTTGGGTTGAATTAAAGGGGCAGAGTTGGAGAACAAATCCAATAGTGTACTGGAGCCAGCTTATACCAGCTCTTGAAAGCAGATTGTTAAATTTTCAGTGTGAGCATTTACTTCTTGGAAATCAGCATAGCTACAAATCAGGGCTTGATTTATTGTTTCTAGACCTAAGAAGGTAATAGAGAAAATGTTAATAATATAGATTAAAGTTAAAAGTCTGTCAAGAACACTTTTTTCCCCTCAGAGAGCTGAATGTTAAACATTTACCAGCATACCCCTGGACAAATGAGAGCAGTAACCTAAGAATTATTAAGGTTTTAGTACATAGTGGAAAAGAAAATACTGTGGCCACTTTATTTCAAGAAAAATGATCAAATTTCTTTCCTCTTCAATCTCCACACCTGGCCATCTGGATTTTCTCTATAATGCTATAGTAGTTTGATCTTCCTGGAAGTTCACTCCTCTCCTAACCTTCTCATACAGGAAGTACCCTGGACCTCTGCTGTCCCTTTCTCTAGTAGGTTAGTTCCTCCCAGAATCTCCATTAAAAGGACAACACCCAGGCCAGCTGTTTCTTCATTTCTCTCTAAGCTCCACTCCTGACTCTCTGGACTTTATCTACCTTGTCTCCTTGATAGGACCTTCTTGTCCCCCTTTCCACTTCCTTTTAGGTGCCGTCTTCTCCCATTAGAATGTAAGCTCCTTGAGAACAAGGACTATCTTTCTTTCTGCTTGTACTTACATTCCCAGAACTCATCACAGTGTCTAGCACACAGCAAACACTTAATAAATGCTCATTGGTTTGACCTGTTGACTTGAGAAAGAAATTCCAAAATGAATCAAAACAAGTAGTATTCTACAAATAGAAAGAACTCATGGAACTCTATTAAGGAGAAACTTAAAATTTTGCTTTTGGATTTATATCTCTATCGCTTAGCATAGTGCCCAGCACATAAGTACATAATAAATACTTTTGTACTTCTCCATTCTTTTTTCATTCAAATAATTGTAAATATATTGTGCTCTTTTTACATTATGTTCTACTTGTGAGCAGAGGTAGTAGGAAGATGTTTTCTGTAAGTGAAATACAAAATTATATGTAATTTGGTTTTGTTTTTCTGAAATTTTTTCCATTCAATGTCGTACTTACTGCTGTGATTCCACCAGTAGCATCAGGGAAGGAAGTCTGTAGAGGGAGGGAAACAAACCACGCATTTTAAGAAAACAAAATCTGTAATAAAGGATATTATATTTGCAAAATAGCTTATCTGAAAATAGAATTTCTATTTTCTGACTCTTTGCAAAACTACCCAATTTTAATAGCCATTCTTTTAAACTGAGAGCTGATTCATGTCCAAAAAAAAATTGAATTTGGTCCTATGGATCAGTATTTCAGAAATCAATTCTTAAGTACCTACGTTGTGCATTTGCAGCATATAAGAAACAAAAAGATGGCAAAGTGGGCATGGAGTCAGGAAGACCTGATTTCAAATCCAGCCTCAGATACTTACAGCTGTGTGACCTTGGACAAGTCACTGAACCTCTCTGCCTCAGTTTCCTCATCTGTAAATGATAATGACAGTACCTACCTCACAGGGTTGTTATGAGGATTAAATGAGATAATATTTGTAGAGTACTTAATACAGTTCCTGGCACATAGGTACTTAATAAATGCTTGTTTCCTTCCATCATTCCAATTCATATGTAGAGACAGGGTAGCTTAGTGGATAGAATGCTGGGCTTAGGGTCAGGAAAACCTGGGTTAAATTGCTGCTCCTGCCACTGGCTATGTCATACCCTGGACAAACGTCTTAAGATACTATGTATTTCAAGCAACTTCCTAAGACATCTATTGAGTCATAGGTGGGCTGTGATCTGCATTGGCAAAGGGAGTTCCCATACTGGGAGTTCTCCTTCAAGTATTTGAATTGTCCACAGCAAATGTTTGATTCTGTCACCCAGGACACTGAGCTATGTGTCACCTACTTATGGAAAGAAAATTAATTTCATTAGAAACCATAGGTTTTAGAACCAGAACTCCATGTTACAAATGAAAAAATTGAGAATTAGAAAGGTTTACCCAAGATTACAAAGATAGGAAGTAGCAAAGCCCAGGATATAAGTATAAGGCCAAGTGTGTGCTGGGAAGGGAGGGTTAGAAGAAAGAAGGAAGCGTGGGGGAACACTCCAATATTTCCACAATATTTGGGAGTCAAGAGAGGAGACATTCAATGATGTGTAAATCCCTTGAATTATACATCCGAAAAGGCTGTGACCAAATGCCACAGTATGGTCATATTACCTGTCATGTATTCTGATTCAGTAGGCATGCTTTTAGCATGTCCAGTTTAAAAAGAAGACAGAAGTCTCCTCAGAAGTAGTGAGAGGTGGACTGATAAAAAGGGGGAGGTGCCAGTATAGCCAAAGGGAAGAGCAGAGAGACATAGGACATTGCAGCCCCCTCCTTTGCCCCAGCATCCTGTCTAGACCTTGATGGTGGGAGCAAAACTTTATACTTCATCTGATTGCCGTCTCAGGGAGCCAGTGCTCTCCAGCTACTGCTGTTTTGAGATGGGAAGGAAAATGTATAAATAGAGCCCTCCATCACATGCTAGGCTTTGAAACTTCTGTAAGTAAACTGATGTGTCCTTCTTCTGCTGTTTTGAGGAGATTATCATGATTTTTGGAGATATTTGGGGAGTAGTGGTCATTTAATAATGAGTGCCAAGAATGTTTAATACCTATATTATTTTATCAAGTACTTTTGGCTTTGATTTCATGAATCCTCTGGTTTGGTTTGCTCAGAAGTCGTTGGATGGGGCTCAGAGTTAAGAATTTTAACAGCTGAATACCCAAACAATATTATGTTTCATGAAAAATCAAGGTCTATTTGGGATATCTAGAACTCAATATGGGACTGCCATTCTTTTCTGTCTCTCTTTGCCATTACTTTTGATGGCTCCTGGCTATTGCCACCCTGTCTCTTACCATTGCCACAGGACTCCTATCCTCTTTTTGATCAGGTTGCATTGTAAGGAAATCTACCTAATCATAATGTGTTCTGAGTCATATTGACCTACTATGAAAATCATTTTCTTTCTTTATCTAATATTTCCTTTTTTTCTTACATTTCCACTCTTGTCTCTCTTCATTCTCTCCTTCCTTCATTCTTCTCCTTCATTTGCCCCATCTCTTCTTTATTTTTCCCTTCAATTTCCCTTCAATTTAACTGCTTTGTATTAATATGTTATGTGTGATTTCTTTTTCTTTTTTAGTGGTATTTTAGAGGGTCTCTTATCCATAGATAGAAACACACTTTAATTCTTCCTTGTGAGGTTGATTTAATTTATCCTTATGAATCATCAGTATAATTGCCCCCAAAAAGAGAAGCAGTAATACCCAGAGAAGGAATAAACAAGTGGAACTAGACCAAACATCATACTGTAATCTTGTTAAGTTGAAGGTAACTTGTACTCAACATAAAAGGCAGAACAAGTCAAGATGGAGAGTGAACAAAGCATTGGAACAGTTTGCCACTGGAAACCAGAAGCCTAAATATATTTGAAAAAGATTGGGACTTCCTCATCTATTCAGTTTGCTCTTGCTTCACGTGAAGTTTCTGCGCTGTTCTACAGAGGTTTGACTCAAAAACGACACTAACATTTGCTGACTTATCTAGTGCAAAGGATATGAATACTTACGGTGTTAGGCGGCAATGTGAGATTTTCAATCACACTCTGAAAAAGAAAGGAAATATTAAAATTCATTGCCATTCATAGTCTGTCTGGTTTCTCCCCCTCATGTACCTCTAACTCAGGTAGATATTTCCTATTTTATCCCCACCTGCAGGTTCAACCTGCCCTAACCCTAGTCCTAGGGATTCCTAGAAGTAGTTTGGCTCAGAATCTATTTTGATGAGCTCTCCTCTCCCCCAGTGTATGGGATCCTTTCTTTGAGCCAATATCCCTGCCTTCTATCTTAGTCTTTGAGCAACTGCTCCCTGAGGCTTATTGTCCCATTTCCCCAGGTTTGGGTCCCTGATGCTAATTGCTTAACTGATTGGACCTGAGTTACCTGTTTTGCAGTGATTAGAGTCATGGGCTAAGTTCATATCTGGCCTCGGACATTTACTAGCTGTGTGACTTTGGGCAAGTCACTTAACCTGTGTTTGACTCAGTTTCCTCAACTTTAAAATGAGGATAATAATAGAAATTGCCTTGCAGGATTGCTGTGAGGATCAAAGGAGATAATTATTGTAAAAGAAGTGCTTAGCACAGTGCCTGGCACATAGTAGGCACTATATACGTGGAATGATTTTCTCCTTCCCTCCCCCTCTCTCTCCATCCTGGACCAAAACTGCAGTGAGAGACAGAGTATCCAAGACTGAGTGGTAGTCTCACTGTACTGTGTGCCCTGATCACACTCCATCTAGAGTACTATGCTCACTTCTGGGTGCTACATTTTTAAGAGATAACATAATATAAGTTGGATAGAGTACCAGGTCTGAAGTCAAGAAGACTCATCTTCTTGAGTTCAAATCTGGCCTGACACTTACTAGCTATGTGACCCTGGGCAAGTCACTTAACCCTGTTTACCTCAGTTTCTTCATCTGTAAAATGACCTGGAGAAGGAAATGGCAAACCATTCCAGTGTCTCTGCCAAGAAAACCCCAAATGTGGTCATGAAGAGTCAGATATGACTGAACAAAGTTGGAGAGCATCCAGAAGAGGGTGAACAGAATGACGAAGGGCCTCAAGATCGTGCTATAGAGCATGTATCTGGGCATTGCCTTGAGTCCAGGTGTGAAATTTCACATACCAAGAATTCTTAACCAGGAGTCTATGAGTCCCCATGAACTTATATGGGAAAAAAATTACATTTTTATTTTCAGTCTGTTAATTAGCATTGATTAAGCACCTACCATATGTCAGTCATTGTCCTAGGTTTCCTTTGTAATCCCATGCATTTTATTTTATGCATTTAAAAACATTATTCTGGGAGGGAGTCCATAGGTTTCAATGGATTGCCAAAGTGGTCCATGATCCAAAAAAGGCTAAGAACCTCTGTCCTATACAGAGGTACAAAAGGCTTTATTGATTCTAAATGAGCACTTCATTCTATTCTGTCATTGATGATATTTCTTTAATAAGCTATAAACTTAAGGATGACTGATTGAGTGATACCCAGCCACATACCTAAGCTATGGACTTGCTCTTGAGAAGGGATAACAGACACAGAAATGATGAGAATACAAGTTAACAAAACCAGAGAGAACCCAGTTGTACACATATAGACTCTGAGTCTCTGGCAGAAGCTTATGTCTCCTAGTGGACCTTCCATGGGACCACATGGCTCCAGAAAGAGAGGGAAACATGTCACCCCAAAGATGGCAGGGAATAGAAGTGTCATGGAGTATCATGAATTTCTGGACCAATAGAGAAATAGCTGTGGAGCAAGAGAAGAGGTTTTGTGTAAGTGGAATAATTCTGGGACAAAGTTTTTTGTGTGTGTAAGAGAGTGAGAGACAGAGACAGAGAGAGACAGAGAAAGAGAGAGATTCTTGGAGCAAGTGCAATAGTTTTTGGCTCTAATCAGGAGCTGGAGTCAAGGAACATCGAGGTGCAGATCCCTAATGCAGAAGAGAAACCCAGAACTTTACTTTTCTTAGTACTGTGAATCGTGTGGAATTTACTGACTCAAAGGAAGGAAGGAGTCAATTCTCTCCCAATCATGACCTCTTGTAGGGAAGTGTCAATACTATGCTTCTCATTATAGCCAAAGATCTCATTAGCTTTTTTTTTAAGAGCTAGAGAGTATTTTCTTTAAAAAAATTATTTATTTTAGTTTTCAACATTTACTTTTATAAGATTTTGAGTTCTAAATTCCTCCTCTTCCCAAGATGGCATGAAATCTGATGTAGGCTATACATGTATGATCATATTAAATATATTTCCACATTAGTCATGTTGTGAAAGAAGAATCAGAACAAAAGGAAAAAACCATGAGAAAGAAAAAAGAGAAAATAGTATGCTTCCATCTGCATTCAGACTCCATAGTTCTTTCTTTGGATCTGGATAGCATTTTCCATCATGAGTCTTTTGGAATTGTCTTAGATCATTGCCTTGCTCAGAAGAGCTAATTCTAACAAAGTGGGTCATTGCACAATGTTGCTGTTACTGTGTGCAGTGTTCTCCTGGTTCTTTTCACTTCACTCAGCATCAATTCATGCAAGTCTTTCCAGGTTTTTCTGAAGTCTGCCTGCTCACCATTTCTTATGGAATAATAGTATTCCATTACATTCATATAACATAACTTGTTCAGCCATTCCACAATTGATGGGCATTCCCTCAATTTCCAATTCTTTGTCACCACAAAAAAGAGCTGCTAGAAATATTTTTGTACACGTAGGTCCTTTTCCCTTTTAAAAAAATCTCTTTGGGATACAGACCTAGTAGTAGTATTACTGGATCAAAGGGTATTCACAGTTTTATAGCACTTCGGGCATAGTTCCAAATTGTTCTCCACAATGATTGGATCAGTTCACAACTCCACCAACAATGCATTAGTATTCCAATTTTCCCACATCTTCTCCAGCATTTATCATTTTCCTGTTTTGTCATATTAGCCAATCTGATAGGTGTGATGTGGTACCTCAGAGCTGTTTTGATTTGCATTTCTCTAATCAACAGTAATTTAGAGCATTTTTCATATGACTAAAGATGGCTTTAATTTCTTCATCTGAAAATTGTCTCTTCATATCTTTCGACCATTTGTCAACCGGAGAATGACTTGTATTAGTATAGATTTGACTCAGTTCTCTACATACTTTAGAAATGAGGCCTTTACATACTATTTGCTATTTTTTTCTTCTGTTTTGTTTTGTTTTTTCTTTCTTGTGGTTCCTCCTATTGGTTCTAATTCTTCCTTACAACATCACTAATATGAAAATATATTTAGTAGGAATGTACATGTATAGCCAACATCAGATTGCATGCCATTTTGGGGAGGGAGGTGGGAAGGAAGGGGGAGAAAATTTTAAAATTCAAATGCTTATGAAAGTGATTATTGATAAATTAAAATAAATTAATAAAAAAAAGAAATGAGACCTTTATCAGAAACCCTGGCCATAAAATTTTTTGCCCAGATTTCTGCTTCCCTTCTAATGTTGGTTGCATTGGCTTTGTTTGTACAAAAACTTTTCAATTTAATGTAATTAAAATTATCCAAGATTGTGCATTTCATAATGTTCTCTACCTCTTATTTGGTCATACATTCTTCCCTTCTCCGTAGATCTAACACGTAAACTATTCTTTGCTCTCCTAATTTGCTTATAGTTTCACCCCTTATCTTATTAGCTTTTTAAGCTGTGATATCACGTTGTTGACTTGTATAGAGCTTGGAACCTACTAACTCCCACACACAAAATTGGAAATTGACACTAACTCCCTTGTGGGGAAAAAAAGCAAAAACTATTTAAAATATTAACTTCTTACCAACAGAAATAAATTTGGTGTTATTGAGGCTGTGATCTCATAAACGGTTTATTTGTTTTATTTAGAAGGTTTTTTTTCTAATTTAAGGGACTATAGTCAACTTGTTCATTGCTTTATTTAACATGAAGAGAGAAACTCAAGATATCTAGACTCCAGAGTGTCAAGTAATGTTTGAAAGGTTTCAGTGGGCTCTGATTTCTTTACCAATTTCAGATAGTCAAATAGTTTTGAAACAATTAGAGTATCAACTCATGTATCTTATCCTAGTTTAATTGTGATTTTATTTCCAAGCTATAAAACAAATATGGTTGCATGGTGTAGAGTCAAGAGTATTGAACCAACAAAAAAAAAAAGTACTGAAACAGGAGTCAGGAAATCTATGTTTTAGTCTAGGTTCTGCCACTATCTGTCTGTGTGATTTGGGGCAATTCACTGAACCTCACTGAACCTGTGTGCACTATTTTCAAAATGAAGGGGTTGAACTAGGTCATCATCAAGATCCTTTTCCCTGCTAAAGTTTGGCGTTCTGTGCCTGCGATCTAAATCTCATCAGAGAGCTATTGCCAAGGAAAAGACACCTGTATCATATCTAAAAGGACTGCTTAGGAATTGTTAGGGCTTGGGGTAAATTTTGACCATAGAATGTTGGCTAGAGATGTACCCTGTGGATTAGTAATCAAACCGTAACATAGATGAAGACTGCAGAACTTTAATAGCAAGTAATAGGAAAAAAAAGGAGTCATGGCAGCCCCTGGTCATCTGGAAGAGTGTTCAGTATGTCCCTTAATAGGGAAATAACATCATAGACATACTTCTTCTACTAGAAAGGTATGACACAGATTCTTACATAGCCATTGCCTCTATAGTTAACTACTCCATTCCCTCTTCTTATCTCTCTCTCTCTCTCTCTCTCTTCTCTCTCTCTCTCTCTCTCTCTCTCTCTCTCTTGTTTTTGTTTTCTTTCTCTACCATTTCTGTAATAGAGTGTTTCTTAGTGTGGGTATTAGATTGACTTCCACCAATATACCAACCAATAAGAAAATTTATTTCTTCTGGTTAGCAAACCCACCTCTATTGTATCTTCTATGATCTTTGCCTCTTAGCCTCCTCTAGACTCATACTCTGGTATTTTTCACTCATTCCCAGATTTATAGCTGAAGATGGCTAAAGATGGTAAATATCTAATCACTGCCTAATTAAGGTATTGTTAGGTTCTTATGATATCACCATATCGGTAATACATACATACATATATACATATACATACACACACACATATATATATATATATGTATATATGTATGCACACACACATATATATGTATGGCTTGGGCCCTACAAGTAATTGAGTTAATCCTGATTATCAGTTGAAGGAACTGGGATATTTAATCAAGATAAGAGAATTCTTTTTTTTTTGTTCTTTTTTTTTTTGCTGGGCAATGGGGTTAAGTGACTTGCCCAGGGTCACACAGCTAGTAAGTGTTATGTGTCTGAGGCCAGATTTGAACTCAGGTCCTCCTGAATTCAGGGCTGGTGCTCTATCCACTGTGCCACCTAGGTGCCCCAAGATAAGAGAATTCTTGGGGAATGTATCTCCATTCCCTGGAAATTTCCAGCCATGTCACTGCCCATGGCTTACTGTCATCCAGCATACACATACTTTCCACCTCCTGTGTTGTCTTTACTCATTAGAATTTAAGCTCTTTGTAGGAGGGTTTCAGAAAAACCTGGAATGACTTATATGAATTAATGTGAGATGAAGTGAGCACAACCAGAAGAATGTTGTGCACAGTAACATCAATATTGTATGATATTCAACTATGAATGACTTACCTATTCTCAGCAATACAATGATCCAAGACAGTTCTAAAGGATTTATGTTGAAAAATGCTATACACCTCCAGAAAAAGAACTGATGAAGTTAGAATGCAGATCAAAGCATACTTTTTCTATTTTATTTTTCTTGGGTATTTTTTTTGGTCCATGTTTTTTCTCCCACAAACATAGCTAATATGGAAATATGTTTTGTATGACTGTACGTGTATAGTCTCCATGAAATTGCATGCTTTGTTAATGAGGGAGCAGAGGAAGGAGGGAAGAGAGAATTTGCAACTCAAAATTTTTAAAATGAATGTTTAAAATTGTTTTTACATGTAATTGGAAAAAATAAATGTTTTTTTTAAAAATGAAGCTCTTTGAACATAAGGACTGTCTAATGAGCTTTTAGCTGTATCCCCAATGCTCAGCATACTATCTGACCTAGTTAACCTTTGTCTCTGTCTCTCTCTGCCTCTTTTTCTCTGTTTCTGTCTCTATCTCTCTCTAATACCATGTGGGAAAATGATTAGACTCATTCTCTATGGCCCCAAAGGGAGGAACCAGCAAAAAAGTACACAAATTGGCATGAGGTAAATTTAGATTAGACCCAACTTCAGGAAAAACAATTACAACTATTCAGAGCTATCCAAAAGGGCATCCTCATTGAGTTATTGGGTTTTCCTTCAAGCAAGAGTCAGTTACCACTTATTATGTAATTGTAGTAGAGATTATTTTTGGAATATGGGTTGGTTTAGATGACTGCTCAAGTCCCTCCCAAATCTAAGCTTCTGTAATTCAATTATAGTATAGATAGATCATGGTTTTAATAAAATCTGAAATACACTAAATGACTCTTTCTTTAGGATACTCAGAGCAAGTGTATCACCCTTCCAACCCTAGTCAGAATAAGGCTAAAGCCCATTGTCTCAGGAATGAGTGAATTTAGATTGGATATTGTTTTCCTCTTGAAGAGAGCATTGTACTCTGTTTCTTCAAGACATTAATATCTTTCTCCTATTGGCCCAAATCTCTGTCATTCTCATGGTAACAAATAGCACATGCAATGTCTTGTTCAGGTCACTCCCCATCTCCCAGATGTTACTCAGAAAGAAGCTTTGTCTCTATGACACTGACATCAGCCCAGTGCTCGCTGGTGAGACATTGCTTGGGAGTAGCTGTATCAGCCCTTGTATTGAGCAGCAGCCCTCTGGACAGCACTTGGAAGCTTGTTTTTTTTTTTATTTACATCAATATTTATTCAGCTCTCTTAAGCTCAAGGACTCTAATCCAAGTTGGTTCAAAAGAGAACTGATGAAGAGTCAGATATAACCTATAAATGAGAGATAGGCAAGGCTTAGATAAATACAGGGTCATCTGAACTACCCTGGTCAGCAGATGTGTCCTCTTGTGAGGGAAATGAGTGAGCTATATCTAAGCCCAGAACCAAATTCTCCAGCTATCAGATAGACATTGGTTGATGGAAGGAAAAGGTCATAAGATTTTGAATTGAAAGGGCACTTAATCAGCTAGCCCAACCCCTTTGATTTGTAGATGAAGAAACTGAAGCCCCCAAAGGGGGAAGTAACCTGTTGAGGGTTATATGGATTGAATGTAGCAGAAATGGAACAAATTCAAACCCACATCTTCTGATTATAAACCCAGCACTTTTTTTTTTTTTACTACTGACAACCCCTACTAAAAGGAGAGGAACTGTTAGGAAGAGCCCTGTTCTTCAGTCCTTTCCTTTCCACTTCAATCGTCTATCCCATTTGCCCCTTCCTCTGGGCTCAAACCAGCCTAGAATCTAAAATCTACTGTCTTGCTCTTGGCAAGAAGCATAGGGAGGCCCCAGTTCAGATAACCTTGGCACAGTGTCAAGCTCCTTTCTTGATGCCCATGTGCCCTGGCATGGTACCAGCTAAGCACCCTAGGTTAAATAGTACTAGGAAAACACTCAAAATTCAGTTGTTTTTCTTTTTAAAGTAATTAGAATGATCAAGCTTAACCCTGAAGAAGAGATATGAGAATGTGCCTTCCTTCTTGGAAGGGAATATGAACCACTGTCACACTTAATTGATGTGTTAATTAGCTTTGCTGAACTGTTTCTTGTTTTCATTTATTACAAGTGATGGTTTTCTGGGTTGACTGTGGGAAGGGGTCTATTGGGAAATTAAGGTGATGTCAAAATACAAGATGCCACTACAAATTGATAACAAATTTAAAAGAATTTTAAACACCATATGGAAAATTATTCATCTTTGGTCAGTACTTAAAGGTTAATCTCTTGACCTCTTTATTCACAAAAGCATGAAGAACTTCTTTCAGATGAGAAACTTTGTTTCTAAACATATCCTTTCAACAAATGGGAAGACAGTCTTATTAAAAGCCTTTTCATTTTCTTCTTCCCTTAAGAGAAACAAAGTTGTCAATGGGATAAAAAAACAAACAAACGAAAAACCCTTTTCACTTACCATTTCTGTTGTTTGCATCTGGGATTGCATACGTGTGTGGAACTCCCAATGTGGAAACTTCCTCCACCAATGAAGATCAACGACTCATTTGGGAATAGTGTTTTGAGCGTTAAAGAGTTTAAATCACTCAAAGCAAGTGCCAGTGGTCACACAGCTGGTATGCTTCGGAGTCCTCTCAGCACAGACTTCCTCCCAGCACCAGAATTCACCAAACGAATCCAGATTGATCACAGGTGCCCTCCTACTGACTCTTCACGCCCATCTGCAGGACAGTTCTACCTTTTGAGCCATCTGTGAAGGGAGGGAGCAGAAGAAAGCTGAGCTCAGTCTCTGCTTCCAGGGCACCAGACATGCATGGTCAGAAGGCAATTGTCTCAGTTGCTGCTGCCTGGCCAGAGTTTAGGGAGGCATCTGAGGCCACATGTCCCTCAGCAAAGGAGAACTATTCTTTGTCACCCTTTATTTGCACCATGTTGGGCACTTGCCCATTCCTCTGGCACTTGTATTCGTCCCCCTTAATTTTCAGTCTCCCTTTCTTCTCCTCACCTCTGCAGCCAAAGTCAAGTCAATCCAGGCTTGGAGGAATCTGCAGCCAGCAGCAGCAGGCTCCTCAGAAAGCAGTGGGTCACAGAATGGAAGGCATGGTGGCACCATCTCCAGCTGATGGGCTTCCAAATTCAACAGCTTTCCTGGCAGCAAGAAGAGGGACCCACTGCCAACATCAATACAGAGAGTAGATATGCTCGGGCAGTCTCTTAGAGGGTGCTTATTCCACCTACTTATTTCCTTCAAGTAACAGATTTAGGGCCACTAGACATTCTGGACATATTATAAAGTGAGAGGCAATTTGATATAGTGGATAGAGCCCAGGACCTGGAGACAGGAAGATGAGAATTCAAATCTTGCTCCAAATACTTACTGACAGTATAACCTTGAGCAAGTTACTTAGCCACCGTCTGCCTCAGTTTTCTTACATATAAACTGAGGATAATAATAGCTTCCACCTCATAGGGTTTGTTATTTGGATCAAATGAGATTATATACACACACAATAGACATATATTATATAATAATATATCATAGTATTATACATAATATACAATCATATAAGCTTGTATATTATAACATAATATATCATAATATTATGTTATATGCTATAATTATGTGGATGCTTTTTTTTAGTCTTTCTAGATTTAGACATTTTAAAGTTTTCTTCCCAAGGGGAAAGTGAAAGACACAGCAGCACAGTGGATAGAGGGATATACTTGGCATCAGGGGGACTCAGGTTCAGGTTTTGACTCTGATGCCTACTAGCTGTGTGACCATTGGCAAGTGATTCCAACTCTTTATTGCCCAGGAAACTATCCAAGACTCTAAGTCCCAACGAGTTGCTGATTTGCATTGGTGTAGGAAGTTTCCACAATGGGAGTTCCACATACTGATGAAATCCCAGATCTAGATCCTATCCCCCAAGCCCCTGCTCAAAAATGTTTTTGAAAGTCTCATATTTCAATGAGTCCTAAGGAAATTGACACCCTCCATCTTGATATCCCTCATCTTCCATAGCCTACGCTTCATACTGTTCTATATCTTCACTATCCCCTTCTTCTTTACATTAGTCTCTGAGGAAGAGACAACACTTCTTGCCAAGGACCCATTTATTTGTTCTCTCAATCACATTCCTTCCCCTGTCCTCGTGGAGCTCATCCCATATATCACTCTCTCCCTCTCACCTTTTGCCTCTCTCCATCTCCTAACTCCTCCCCCTGCCTATTAACATGCCCAGGTATCCTGCATGCTTTTTAAAAAAATCCATTTATGTGGCCCTGCCAGTCCCTCAAGATACTGTCTTATGTCTCTCCCCCCTTTCCCTGCTAAGTCCTAGAAAGAACTGCCTGTATTCACTGCCTATATATCTTCACCACTCATTCATTTTTCAATTCCTTGCAATGCCTTTAAAGGCCACCACTCTGATAAAGATGCTCTTTCAGAGATCATGAGTAATCTCTTAATTTCTAAATTCAATGGCCTTTTCTCTGTTGGCATCTTCCTTGACCTTTCTCCAGCTTTTGACACTGTCAATCAAACTGAACTCCAGGGTAATTTCTCTTCCCTTAGTTTCCATGACATTGCTCCTTTACCTAAGCACAGCTAGGTGGTGCAATGGCCTAGAGTCAGGCAGACCTGAATTCAAATGTGACCCCAGACACTTGGCTAGCTGTGTGACCTTGGGCAAGTCACTTAGCCTGTTTGCCTCAGTTTCTTCAACTATAAAATGGGGATAATAACAGCACCTACCTCCCAGGATTGTTGGAAGGATCAAATGTGATAATATCTGTAAAAGCACTTAACGGTGTCTGGCACATAGCAGGCACTTAATAAATGCTTGCTTCCTTCCCTTTCCCCTTCCTCCCCTCTTTGTCAGTTTCCATTCCTAAATCATAATCCATTTCCCAACTCCTCTTTGTTGGGGATCCCTCAGAGCCATGTTCTGAGCCCTCTTCTTTCTGCACTCCCTCCCTTTGTGATTTCATCAGTTCCCATGAATTCACTAAACATATGATTCCCAAATCCATATAGCCCACCTCTATCTCTTGGAATTCCAATCCTTCATTACCAACTGCCTGGTAGACTTCTCTGCATGATATCTGATTGCTGGTTAAGACATGGTATGTCCAAAACTGAACTAATCATTCTTTCCTTTAACCATATACCCCTCCAAACTCTCTTGTTTCCATTAAGGGCACTGTCATATATATACATATATACATACAGATACACACATATACAGATATGTGTATATATTTACATATATTTACACATGTATATACACATATATTCACATATACACATATTTACATATGTATATATGTAGATACATACACAAACAATATATGCATATATAAATATATACATATGCACATGTGCATATATTTAAATACATTTGCATATTTTATATACATATTTACCTATGTGTGTATATGTGTTTATACACAAACAAACACACACACACACACACACACAATCTAGCCAACAGCCTGGTTCAGTTCAGCTCCTCATCACTTCCGGCCTGGAGACCAACTTGGTCTCCCTCCTTTCAGTCTGTCCTTTCCCTAGTTGATCTCCAACCCACACAAGCTGCCAAAATAATCTTCCCAAAACAGAGTTCTTACCATATCATTCCCTTCTCAAAAATCTTCAGTGGGTCCTCCTTGAGTCTAGCTCAGGATAAGACACCAATTCCTCAGCTAGGCGTTTAATCCTCCCTGTGAGATCCAGCTCTGATTACTTCTCCAGCCTTACTTCCCCCCCCCCACTCTCCTTTATATACTGCTCTACAGGGAAGCTAGGGGGTGCAGTGGATAGAACACTATGCTTGGAATCAGGAAGACTCATTTTCATGAGTTCACATCAGGACTGAGACACTTACCAGCTGTGTGACCCTGGGCAAGTCATTTAACCCTATTTGTTTCAGTTTCTCATCTGTCAAATGGCAACATTCTGGAGAAGGAAATGGCAAACCACTCCAGTATCTTTGCCAAGAAAACCCCAAATGAGGTCATGGAGCATTGAACATGACTGAAACAAACATCCCAGCAAAACTAGGCTACTATCTGTTCCCTTACCTCAAACTTCCAACTCTTACCTCTGCACAGTAACACAAGCTATCCCCTAGGCTTGAAATGCACTTCTTCTCTAGTCCCATTTCTCAAAATTTTCCTCTTCTTTCAAGGCTCACTCCAGTCATTGCCTTCTCCTTGAAGTCTTTCCTGATTTCCCTCAGTGGCTGATGCTTTCTACCTTCTCAGATAGCTACTATATTCAATTAACAATTTTTTCCTATTTTTGATCCAGACTTGTGATTGCATCATTGTAGGGATCTCTTGATATCAATCCAGAATTGCAACTACTCTGTAATTTATAGTCTGAGAGAGCTATTTGGGGCACTGGAGGATTTAAGTGACTTATCCAGGGTCACACAGTCAGTATGTGGTCAGAGATAAGATTAGAACTGATTCTGAGGCTGGCTCTCTATCCACTGCTCTTCAGGGCCTTTATTTACCTAGCTATGCGTATGTTATGTCTCCCCGGTACAATGTAAGCTTCTTGAGGGCAAGGACGGTTTCATTTCATCATTTGGTTATCACTGTGCAGATATTTGATTGGGACTTAAGACAAATGGTATATTAACACAAGACAACCTCCAGAATGTTTGTTGATGTTAGCAGTCTATTAAAGTGGAAGAGTTGGCCAGGGAACAGGAAACATAATCAAACACCAATGCTTCAATGTTTCTTGTGTTTTCAAGCATTAGCGGTTATATAGATTTGCTCCATTCCTTTGCTGATGGAAGCTTTGCTGATGGATTTAATTTATTTCATCACATATGATATTAATGAAGTTCTTGAGACATTCAGTTTTTCTTGGTAGGATCAATGAGTACAAAATAGAATTAATTCAACAAACATTTATTAAGCCACTTCATTTTAAGCCATGCTAAGCACTGCGAACCCAAAGAAAAAATTGCTTGTCCTCAAGGAGCTTATATTCTACTAGGGGGATATATGTATGCAGCTAAGTACAAGATATGTACAAAATAAATAGAAAGCAATTGAAAGAAACTGACAACTGGGGGAACCTGGAAAAAGTCTTTTTCTTTTATGGAAGATGACATTTGAGTTGAGCCTTAAGGGTAGTGGGGGTGCCAAGAGGCCGAAGTGAAGAAGAAAAGTATCCAAAGCATAAAGAATATACTGTACAAAGGCATGGAGGTGGGAAATGGGTTATCATATACAAGGAACAGCAAGTAGTTGGCCTCCTTGGCATGGAATAAAGAATGTGGAGGACTGATATGCAACTAGCCTGAAAAGAGACTTGGAGCCACATTGTGAAAGGCTGTCAAGAAGTCACTGATGTTTTCCGCTGTGCTCTCTTCTGGCTAGGCTGGGCTGCAGCCTAAAGGTATATTGTAATGACAACGTGGTCCATGCCACAAATTAGACTTATTCATATTTATGACCACCTGCTTACTCATTTCTGTGAAGATGATGGGAGAACCCCCAAAGTGCTTGAAGGGCATCTCTAAAACTTCTGGATAGGTTTCTCCCTAACTACTTTGCACTGGCTATCCCTCATGCCTGGAATGCTCTTTCGCCTCGACTCTGACCTCCTGGCTTCTTTCAAGACACAGTTCAAATCCTCCCTTCTGCAGAGGACTTTCCCCCTTCCCTCCTACTTCTCCCCCCTCCAAATCCCCAGCATTTTCTGAGATTGCATTCCATCTACATTTATATGTACACAGTTATTTCATCTTAGCACAGTGCTAGGCACATAGTAGGTACTCAAAAAAAAAGTATGTTGACTTGACTTGTTGATTGTGAGAAATGAAAGAGTTAAGTTTCCCCACAAGTAGATAAGAAGTCAACACAGACAGGGTAACTTCTCCATCCAATGGGGTAGTGATAACACAATTCTAGGCACAAAATGTATGTTAAAGGGTGGGTATGTAAAATGCACGAACAGGGCTTATAAGGAAGATTGTAACCCAGAACCAATCCTGATACAGAAGGGAGAAGTTAGGTAATTACTAACTATAAAGTTGCTCTTG